TTAAAATTTGCTTCACTGTTAAAATGAATCCTTCCACTGTTAGTGATGAGTTAGGAATATAGGATTCATAGCATTAATATATGAAGTCTGGTATTCAACCTCCTGTTATACTGTATCAAATCAATGAAACATCTAGCTTAACAGCCCCATCACTCCCTGCTACACTGGATCAGACCAAGAGGCCAAAGTATCCTGGTATCCACATCTCAGGTCAGACCAATGAGTCCATCTCGTCTGGTCTCCTTGTTACCCTGGACCAGACCATTGGTCCATCTAGTTTCGTATCCTGCTGCCAAAAGATCCCATTAGCTGATGCTTGTTAAGTAGGGAAACCCAGCCTGCCCCTTATATAATGTTCTATTAGGTGTGGAGGACTGGAAGGCACGGAAACCCTTCTGACTTGCTGTGATTATTACATTAGAAACTTCCATTTTCAGAGATTTATGTTTTAGCTATAGAAAAAATGTTTAAGCATTTTAAGATTATCCATCTGTAAAAATAATGACCAACTTAAAGGAATCCTGCTAATAACTGAGGTAAAAAAACTTGGCTCATTATAAATAGGTATAATTAGTACTTTGCACTGTAAATACTAATTTTTGTTAACCACACAGCCACACTTTGATAACAATTAAAAACAATAAATGTCAGCCATGATTTGCATAAAGCCTACATTAAAACAAGACAAGTTCATTCCTGGTGTAAATCAAATGAAGTCAGGTCCTGTGGTTAAGGAGCTCTGTCCATCTGCTCCCTCTCATGGCCACGCTCACTAACTGTTTTGTTTGCTAAGCTATCTGCTGGCTTTTTCTGTCCTACATCTGCCAAACCATCCTCTACCCCCTGCATTTGAAATCAGGAAACCTCTTAGCCCATTTGGCTCAGTTTCAGATCAGGCCTTGCCACATGGCCCATTGTTTTTTGGGGAGGGGGGGTGACTTTTACTGTTTCCAGCTGAAGAGGCTTAACTGCTCCTTCCATTTAGGGTGAAAGAAGTGTGCTGTGTTCATCCATCAGCTCTAACCAGGTCTTTGATTATCTACAGTCACAAGACCCACTTGATGGCAGCCATTAACACGTTCCAACATAATATTATATAGAATAGAATAGTTTAGATCATGGTGACAGCTTACTTCCCACTCTCTCACAGCGAGTTGGCCTGCTTTCTCATCCTCTGATTGTTTGTAAGTTCCTCTTCTTGTCAAGCTGACAGTGTCTTTGATGGAAGCTGTATTCAGAGTAAACTTAGCCAAGCTATCACACATTTCTTCTTGAGTTTTCTCCCTGGCTTCCTGCCCATTTAAAATGTTGCAATAAGTATTGCCTTATTCTTCTCCTACAAAGCCAGTAAAAACCACTGAATAAATCTGGCCCACCTCAGAGATTTCCCACAGCGCTGGTGACAACAACTTCCTTTTGCTCCCTGACCCTTTTTAACCTGTTTAGTTCGGTTTTGTTTAATTTTTAACTAGCTTTTCTTGATTGTTCACTTCTAAAATCAGAGAATAACCTACATGATCATTCCACAGCTCCAAACATATGACTTTTTACCTTAGTTTTAAAAAGCGTGGGTCAGTCTGCCAGGAAAGTTACTAGTTCCAACCTATTCAATATTGTGTCTGAGCCCATGATGGCAGAATTAAATCAAGTTCCCTTTGGTTTTCTATCTTTCTGGGATGAAGAGTTTTCTACCTCACTGGGAGGGAGAGTAATCTGGAGGTTTGAGGGAGGGAACCTGAGTGAAGACTCCTGGATTCTATTCCAGCTCTAGGATTGTGGCTTAAAGGTTAGAGCAAGCAACAAAATTGAGATCCTTGAATTCTGTTCCCAGATCTAGTGGGTAGATCACATACGGATCTCCTGCATTCTATCCTAGCAGTGCATTTGACGCTCCATATGATCTTGGAGGTAGGATGCAAACTACCTATGAGACAAATTGCTAGCAATGGGAAGTGAGAGCTGGGAAGAGGCCAGGAGGAAGAGAGAGGCAAAAAAGAATGAAGGAATTGTGCAGATGGTAAAAGGAAATAAATTAGGGAATGCACTTTGTTAGCTGGGCATCCAAGATTGCCTAGAGTTGATATGGAAACCATGTCTTGTTCTTCTTACTTTGTCCCAACAGGAAACATCATCCCATTCAGGCTGGACAGGGGGGAGATCTGACATCAGGTTCCTGCAATGTTGATTTCCTTACAGACCACAGAGAGAATTACAAAATAGGCCTTGTCTACAGTGGATACTTGCCCGGGTTACCAGTGCAAAACGCTAGTGTTAACAGGCAAAGCTGCTATTTGCATCACTGATGTTTGCTTTGGTTTCAATAAGCAAACAGCAAGGGAAGAGCTAACTGCATAGGTGCACATCATCCTTAGAGTGATTAGGGCTGGGATTTGCATAGGTACAGCCACACGCATCATTTGCCACCAATGTCTACTGTGGGAATTTCAGCAAACATTCTTTTTTGTCTCACTTGGAGATCTTTTTCCTTTGGACCATATGAACTGGAACCATAAACTCACTGAACATTAAATCTCACCAAATGAGGGTAAATCTATCCTCACCATCGTATCCACTCATTATACTCCACACCTGAACATAGTCATTATATGAACAACATACCCTCATATCTCAATGTCTGTACTTTGACCTGTTAACCTTTTACCCCTAATAGGGGATATTGCAGATTATGTATTCCTCACACCATCCGATCCAAAACTGAACTTCGCACCCCTTGATAATCTGTACCTTATTCATATTGATAACCAGAAACTCTACACTTAAACTCTGTACCGTATTTTTTTTATTTTAACATCATCTTAATAAAATTCTTAAACACCCTAAGACCTAGGAAATACTTGCAGGGAATTTATATCTGTGTGGAGAACAGGAATTATTCAGACAATTTATTTTAAAGGGCCAAATGGCTTATACAACTCCTGGATAAGAGTTTGGTGCTTTCAGATCCCTGATTAACCCTGTTGTGCAAAAATAACAAACAGCCAGTGTGTTTTAGGGAAACAGACAGAGTTCAATGGAAACATTTTAGCCCTCCTGGCCAGCACTAGGAAATCTGAGAAACTCTACTTAGCCAAACTGGCACCTCAGCAAGGGGAATTCTTCTGGGGTTGGCAAGGGCACCTCCTGAACAAAAGTTGAAATGTGTGTTGTGCAGACCCTTCCGTTAGACGCCAACTGCAAAATTAATTACTGGGGAGCTGCGAAGGGGAAGCTTTAAACAAAGAGCTAAATTGTGTCTTGGAAAGGCTGCAGGGGAGAAGGAACCTACAATTTGTAATGAAAGAGAAAAAAAGGCAGAGAAAAAATGTTGCTGTTCATCTTTCCTAGTTAACAAGCCAAGAAAGTGTCCTGAAGATGCTGGGTGCAGCTGAGCTGCAAAAAACACACTGTGCAAAGAACAGACTCAAAATAAAGCAATACACTTTCACCCACAATTTTTTTTACCCCATACATTGAGAGGGAGAATGTAGACCCAAATCTATTCATGTAGGTACTTATTCTGTTCCCACAGTATCTGAGCAACTCACAGATTTTATTTCACAACACCCCGGGAGGTAGAAAAGCATTACCCCCTTCTCTTTTTTTTAACAAATGCTGAACAGAACCACAGGGCAGATTAAGTGATTTACCCAGGGAATCTATGGCTGAAGTAGGGCCTAAACCCAGGTTTACTGAATCTTAGTCCAATGCCCTATCCATTAGATGATTTGTCTTACTCTAAAATACACACAAGTGAGTACTCTCTCCCATTCCCCCCACTTTCATTTGTGTTTCGCATTGTGTTGAGGGTGTTTACCTTCCAAACACAGGGATAAGCATTTTATGAGGTTAAATCTGAGGATGTAAGCCTCTCCAAATGCAGGTGAGCTGGCAAATAATTTTTTCTATTTCAGTGCAGCATAGATTCATGAGATGTCTCCCAAGCCATAAACATCCCGAGAAGCAGCAGTCCTGCAGTCTTACTCCAGTGCATGAGGGGCAACTGGAGGCAGGGCACTACCCAGCAGACAATGATGAGCAGAACAAGAGTCTTGTCCGTTGCGGGCACAACCTGTCTCTCCCCTATTTGACAGGGATTCCTCACAATGCCTCTCCTTGATCGAAAACTCAACAGGCTGGTTCCCATCAGACTTATTCTGTACAGATGGGGGAATGCGTGCACATGGCATTGATAGTGCCCAGTCCCCTGGGGCCACGGTTTACATTAGGGAGTTATGGATATAGTGTTTGATTTTTATAAGGCAAAATTTAGCAACCTACCTCACAATATTTCCCCCCCCCCATGTTTACACAGAGCAGCTGGAGAACTTTTCTTCCCAACAAACACCCCATGCCAGCATGGTCCAGAGGTCAGAAAAAAAAGATCAGTCTCTTCAGCTACTCTGGTGAGGCATGAAAGCCCAACCACAGCACCAGTCAGTGCCACAGGCAGCAGCAGCTGGTGCAGTGAGGGAGCCGGGCGGGCCTCTTGGGGACTGAATAGCAACATCTCCCTCCCCCTTCCCGCTCTCCCCATCTCCCTTCCTTCCCCTCACTCCTAGTCCCGCTCTTCCCTCCACCCCTCCTTCATTTCTTCCCACTTTTCCCCCTTCTCAACTTTCCCGCTATTTTCTGCTACCGCGCATGCGCCCCAGACCAGCTCTCCCAGGAGCGTTCTCTGTTACGCATGCGTCATGTGGTCGCGCCAAGATCGGGCGTTCTCTCTCTGCCATATGGGTATCGCCGTGTGTAAGCCTCTGCGATAGCGCATGCGCATTGGTGACACAGCGCAGGGGATGGCGCGTATTTTTCCTCAACGCATGCGCAGTTATTGTCCAGCGGCGGAGGGTAGGGGTGGAAGGAGAGAGGTGGGCAAGCGGCCCGTGGCGCTTGCGCAACCTAGGGTAGGCGGGGTGAGTCGGTAGCAGCGTTCCTGCGTTCGGCGCTTGCGCACTGAACGGTCACAGGGGCCCAGGCGACGGAGCGAAGATGGCGGCGGTGGTACAGAATGTGGTGAAGCTGTGAGTGGTTCCCCCTCTCCCCCATTTTCCTGCCCCCCTCCCCTCCCGAGCGCTCAGCGGAGCAGTCCGGGCCCCGGCTGGGCTCCCTCCCCTCGGGAGAATCTAAGTGACCCGGACCGGCGGTGGCGCGGAGGACTCCTGCAATGGGGCTTTCATTGTTAGGCGCAAAGTTTCTCAGCCGGCTCCTCAGGCGGAGTGGGGATACCGGCGCGTGGGGGGAGCGGGGCGGAGTATGGGCCCCTTGCGGCCCCTGGGGGTGGGAACGGGGGGAGGAGACCACCCTCACAGGTTGGCCTCCGTAGGGTCCCTGCGGGGTGTGAAGGGGGGGAGCAAAGCCCCCACTTCTAGTATGGGGGGGAGGGAGGATTATCCTCCTCAGAACACCACCACCGAGAACAGCAGGGAGACATTTCCTGTCCAGTCCCCCCTCCCCCGCCCAGTTCCACTGGGGGATGGGGAAGAAGACATCCATTTATATAGCTGCCATGAGGAACAGGGTCCTCCACAAGGCTCAGGCTAGACTAGGGGTTGAAGCTTCTCTTTCCAGGGGATCCATATGGGAGCACAAGCTACTGCTCCCTACGGGTGCAGAGCGCTGGAAAGGCTACAGTTCCGTTGACCTTCTAAACCAGCAGTCCTGCCCCCCATCTTTCCTAAATGTTAAAGAATAAGAGAAGGTACGAGAGAGGTGTCTGCAAGACTGCCCTAAGGGTAAGGGCTACAGCTGCCTAACCTCACCAAGGTGTGAAAAGGGCCAGCTCACCTCATAGTCTTGATAAAAGTGGTGTGAAGGAGCAAAAGTGCTGTTTTAAAAACTGGACTTGAAAAATCATGGTGATTCAGCCAGCCAGAATGCAGGGTTTAAATTGAAGAGGGTTTTGTGGTAGGTAGGATAAGGATGGTAGGCCTTGACAGAAGTGGTGGTTGTGTGTAATTGTGATGACATTGCTTATAACTTCTTGAGGTTATAAGCTTACAGTCTGCTTTGATTCTTCAGTAATTCATAATAATGGCTGTCATGTGGCAGACTGTGGTCAGGAAGCAGTATTTGGGGTTAAGTCCAGGTGTGTGATATGATTTCCATGTTTCTGATTAAGTTCCTCTTTCCTTTCCTCTCTGGACATTGTCAAACCTTTGCTGTCTCTAAAGAAACTTGAGAAGAGCAAAAAAAAAGTTCTCTGGAACACACTAAGCAGCAGGTATTCTTAAAAATTCTTTGGGGAAAGGACAGTCTTAGCAACTAGAACATCACTTTCTCTTTCTGCAAATCACACTATTTGAGCCTCGGGCAGAGAGAGAGAGAAGGGTGATCTTGGGGTCAAGGCACTGCAATGGACCTCAGGTACCTGAGGGTAAATTCCTGCCTTAGCCATTTGTTTCTCACATATCCCTGGGTAGGTTATTTAATATGCCCTGTGCTTCAGTTCCCCATCTGTAAAAAGCAGATTGTATTTCCCTGTCTCTTATGGGGGTTGTGAGGATAAAATCCATTAATAATTGTGAGGTGCACAGGTACACAGTAATTAGGGGCCGTATAGGTACCTAGATCTCTCTAAAGATACACTACCAGGTGTGCAGATATTGTAGAGTAGTAGCCCAAAATATAGACTCTCTTTTTTATATAGTGTTTTTCATCACTAGACTCAAAGCACTTTACAAAGGAGGTTAGTATCAGTATCCCCAGCACCAAATGCTACACTGCACCAAAATGTTACTACAGTGTAACTGGATTATTACTGTAGAGTATTGTAGTAACATGCTTTTAAATAAGGGATGACTGAGCCAAACATCCTCCTAACCCTCCCCATTCTTTTGATCTGTGTGTGACTTTTTGTACGTTTTCTGGTCTTAGTTCAGTCTAAAAGGAAGCAAAATATAAGTATCAAGTTATCCACTTGTCACATGAGCATGGAATTTAATTATTTTTAATGAAAAGGGCAGTTGGGGTTTTTAATTTTTTGTAAACATAAAATGTAAATCGGGGTTGGCAGCCTTTCAGGAGTGGTGTGCCGAGTTTTCCTTTATTTACTCTAATTTAAGATTTCGCATGCCAGTAACACATTTTAATGTTTTTAGAAGGTCTCTTTCTATAAGTCTATAATATATAACTAAACTATTGTTGTTTGTAAAGTAAATAAAGTTTTTAAAATGTTTAAGAAGCTTCATTTAAAATTAAATTAAAATGCAGAGCCCCCCAGACCGGTGGCCAGGACCTGGGCAGTGTGAGTGCCACTGCAAATCAGCTCATGTGCTGCCTTTCGCACAAGTGCCATAGGTTGCCTACCCCTGATGTAAATGAACAGCTGTTTTTAAAAACTAATGATGGATGTTTAATTACCACTGTGTATGTGAGCTAAAACTGTTTTTAAAGTAGATTTTTTTAATCATGGTTGGTATAGATTAGGTAAAAGCTGAGAATGCGGACCCAGTGTGCTAGGCAGTGTGTGTATGCTCTGCCCTGAACACTTTATGATCCAAATAGATGAGACAAAGGATGGGACAGGAAACAGAAGGGGGGGAACTAGGTTGCTCAAGGTCACGGAGCTAGGAAAAGAACTTGGGTCTTCTGGGTCCCAGCCCAGTTCCTTATCCACTGGACCATACTGCATCTCCAGTAGCATTTTAATACCATTTTAGAAAACAGGTTTATAGACTTAAGTTCAGATCCCATTGTCAGTCATGCCAGAGTAAATCTTGAGTAACTCTATCAAAGTCTGAAGTGTTGTATTTACTTGTGTATAACTGAAAGCAGAATATGTTCCTATGTCCTTTAGAAAAATGGTCTTTCTCAGTGGTTCCTTTTCTTTTTGTGGATACAGACTAACACGGCTGCTACTCTGAAACCTCTCGTTACAGTGTGTTTGGTAACACCCATTGTTTCATGTTCTCTGTGTATATAAATCTCCCCACTGTATTTTCCACTGAATGCATCCGATGAAGTGAGCTGTAGCTCACGAAAGCTTATGCTCAAATAAATTTGTTAGTCTCTAAAGTGCCACAAGTACTCCTTTTCTTTTTTCAGTGGTTTCTGAATTCTTTCATGCCGTGATCACCTTTTGGCTCACATCTGTTAACATGGCCCGCAGGGGCAATGGTGCCAATTCAGATATTACTTTTTGGGGCTAGAGCAGATTTTTCAGCCCTGCTTCCCCTTCTTACATCCAGCCCTGGTCCACCCCTAGGTCTCAGGGAGGGAGTTACCATCGCAGACCAAAGTGCATGGATTGGGCACACCCGCCCCAGCGAGGGTGGCAGCTCAGGCTCCTCCCCATCCCTCCTCTGCACCACAGCTCCCTGTCAGGCTGGCGGGGGGTGGTGTCTCATTTCAGTGCTGCCAGCCCTTGGATTTTGCTGCCAGTGGCAGGGACCAACCTCTACATAGCCAGCTCTGTGCACCTATGCTCTCTGCCTTGCAATGGGACCATGAACAGTCCCCCTGCCCTACTTAAATGGCAGCCCTGTCTACCCCTCCTTGTTAACTTGAGACTTCCAATGGCACTAGGAGGAGCTGCCATGAGGTCCAGCAGGAGGGCCCAGCAGGCAGTGCAGGACCCAGGACCAGCCAAGCTCCCTTCAGATCCCCACTGCCTTCCCTCACCCTGCTATTTACCCTTCTCTCCGCTGGCTTGATGTTTCAAGACACCTCTTCCCCTCCCTCCCTTGGGGGTCATAACTCACAGTTTGGAAAAGGAGTCTATATTGAGCAAGGAAATCATGTTGAACCTGTGTCAGCTCATTGTTAAAAGTGGATGCAGCCAATAGGCTTTTATTTTTCTCTAGTATGGGCTGAACCACTGGGAAGGGTTTAGGTTGGATATTGGCTGCTGAGCAAATTTCTGGTCTGCTTTTTTAGTATAGAAGCAAAGACACAGAGTCTGTTCTTTTTTCCCTCCTTGGATCAAGATATTTTTGCATATGCAGGACGTATTCGGAAATGCATGAAATTTTTAAAAATATTTTGCTTTATTTGACATTTTCAGTCTATTTAAGCTGTGTTTGAATGCACAGCAATGGCGTTATCAATACAATCAGCTTGTGCATTAAGCTCAGACATTAGTTTTTAATTGTATCTTAGAAATGTGCATTATTAGATTGAACTGTATAAAAGTATTGATATGACTTTAATAAAAAACTAGGTTATGTATTTTAAAAAGAGAATATCCAGTCCAGCCATTTGTTTGTGGAAAAGTTTTGACTCTTCCATTAAGATCTCTTTCCTGATGATGTCACTTTTTTTTTTTTTACCCCCTGCTTTTGATTTCTCCACTTCCTGATTTTTGGGCCACTCTACAGTACAAACCATGTTAGCTGCTAAGGGGAATCCTATTCTGTTTCCGAACACCTTTAGGAAAATTTTCCATCCTGAGAACTGCTATAATATTTAATGCTTACATAGTGCCTTTAATCCAAGAGACTAAGGGCATGTCTACATTTGCCATTTAAAGTGGAAAAAGTCCCTTTTCTGCTCAAAAACTGTGGGAGCGTCTACACTTGCCAATGACTTTTTTGCGGCAAAACTCAAAAGTTTCACTGCAAAAAGTAAACCACCTCCATGAGAGGCATACAGCTCTTACCGGTGATGCTTTTGCGGTGATGTGCAGGTGAAGACATGTTCTTCCTGTTTACAGAACTTTTAGTCTCCGGAGCATATCCCACAGTGCCTAGGTGACCACTCTGGCCAGCAGCTCTGCTGCTCTGATGCCAGGTAAACAGACATCCACCCCTCCCCCTGTAAAGCCCCGGGAACTTTGAAACTTCCCTTCCTGTTTTCTTGGCAAGTGCACACTTATCATCTGGCCAAGTGATAATGGCTGCTCTAGGGGCCAAAGATCCCCAGCTTGGAGCAGTGTTTGGGGAGAGGAGGCTGTGCAGAGGCCCAGGATGTCCCGTGATCACCCCCCACCCTCCTTTTCCCACAAGACCTAGCTGTCAAAATGGAGAGAGCTGCACTGTGGATTAGCTAAGTCCTCAGTGCGCTGTTCTTATGGGGGAAGTGCTGCAGATGTAAACACTCTCTGAGGCCTGTGGAAGTAAGTGAGTACACAAACTAGTGCTTTTCTTTTACCGGTTCACTATCACTAGTGAAACTGACAGCATAAAACCTCTGCAAGTGTAGACATAGCCTAAAAGCCTACAAGGGAGGGTAGTTGGTAGAATTATCCCTGTTTTGAAAATGAAGCACAGAGCTATTAAGAGCACTCTGTATGAGTAGCTGAACTGGGAATAGAGTCCAGGTCTTTTAACTCAGGGTCCAGGAGGGCTCTCTCCAGAGGTCTGGACAGCTTCTATAGACTGAAGTGGAGAAGAGACTTGTTTTGTCAATAGCATCATTTACTGATCAGTTATCAGAGCAAAAGATAGTTTCATGCACTGATCGGGGAACTGTCTTAGCAAGCAGTTGAGAGTTTCATCTGTAGTATGGATATAGCTTATACTCCTGTCTACCCTACAAATTTAGCTGTATAGGGAGATATGTCCAAATCTGTATCGTAGTTGGGGACATGGCTAAAGCATAATGATATGCAGTCTGCTGTAACACAGAACTATGCTTTAACTGTGTTGGTTGACAACAGTACTGTAAGCACGACCTCCCTACTTCAATGAATTTTTAAAAAAGTGTGACTTGTGCCACATACTACTTTGTGGCGTTGAACTTGCTAAGATTAGTGCTAACCTGACAGTCAGAAACCCATAGGGACACTGGCTCTCTTAGTTGGTTCTGAGGACCATTTTATCCCTCACATAATCTTGTTTGGCTGTCAAATCTTTCTGTCCTGTGCATAAGCAGAAAGGACTGTGGATGAAACAGAATTTTTGATGTGCAGGTGCATCTGAAATGGATATTATCTTCTTATTTTTGGGAAGTTTTCCCCCCTAGTTAAAGGGGTTGTTCTCCTTTAGCTTACATCAGTTTTCCTCCTTATAACTCCACTGACTTCAATGGACTTAATCTAATCTTGTTCTTCACTGATGTTGGATCAAAACCAGGATTCATATATTTAAATCTCAGCTTCCCCATCCCAAGTGTATGCCTTTGTTCTGCATTATGTCCAGCAAAATATTTTGCATGGAATGTTATGTGCAAATTCTCATGTGTTGCCTGAAAGACAAGCTCCCATGTGTCATGTCTTGTTGTTCATCCCGTTAAACTAGTAGCTTCCTTGCCATGTGTGTAATTACTGAGTTGTGTTATGGAGCCAGCCTGAGTGCCTTTCCTCTCTGACTCATGTTCTCTGCTTTGATGAGGTCATTTCAGCCAGTGTAGAAGTGTCAGAATCTATCTATATGTGTGTGTAAACAAAGGGCTGTTGTGCTTATGTATTTATAAATTTTTTTCTTTCCTTTCCTTTCCTCTCCTGGCATTGGAGACATAAAATTCTCTCTTCTTTAGCAAGCTGAAGTCACCAGATTCTCTGCTTTCCCTCTCCCTGCTACTTTGTGGCAAGATTTTAACATTGAAATTACTATAATTATGGCTCATTCAATTAAGTGAGTCTTTAGTGCTGCTGTAGCAAAAAAAAAAGAAAGAAAAGAAAGGGAAAAAAAAAAGCCAAAACCTTGAAGGGGGGAAAAAGTAGATTTAATCAGTCTTGTATTCTTCCTGTCGGTTCGTGACTTCCCCCTGTTTTTGCTAACTTGATTACCAAGCAGAATTGGATTTTTTTTCCTCTATTGGATCTATATATTGAAAATGTGCTTCAGTATAGCGTAACAATATAAAAAGACTCTAAGTAGAGGGACCATCAAATCAGTGATTTACTCAGAGGGTAAGGACATGAGCATAGCATGTAGGTAGGTCACCTGAATTTTGAGTGTGGGGATGGAAATATAGCTCTTGGCATCACTCCAAAATGCTACTCCATAATTTTGTGACAATTCTATGTCCATGATACCTTTATTGTTGTCTGTGTGTGGCAAACTTGAGATCATCCTGTCTTCACAGGAGCAGGAAGGGAGAACTCAAAGCCTCCTTCCAAGATGCATGCCTCCAGCACTTGATCTAAATGAGAATCTCTGTTAGCACTGCAGGGTCTGTCACATATTTAAGGACTTCTGAATCTGTTCAGTGGTTCACATGCATTACAAATTTTTTATTAGTTTATGCAGTGCTTCCAGAGTATCCCAAAAATGCAATTATCACTCCACTCATCAGTTAAAATCCAGCTACTTCTTGGTTGTGTAATGGCAGCCCCACTGCACAACAACTTAGGGCAGAAAGTGAAGGAGTCGTATATCCAATTTAAACTGCACAGTATACCAGAGTTATAATTTGCTTAAGTGCTGATTGGTTCCTTTACTCAGTTCCAGTTAGGATACCCACCTTTTTAACACTTAGAAGCCAGAAATTTGGTACAAAATTTAATTGAAAACCCAAATATAAATCAAGGTGATGGTCTCGTATGAAACAGTGAATTATTTATGGAGAATTGTAGCTTGGAACCCATCTGTTTTAAGACCTTTGTACATAGTGCATCATTCTGTGATATTTCATGAAATGATATTTAGGGTAAAAGATTGGTTGCTCAGGGAGTTGGCAGTTGGGTAATAGAGCCTTTCAACTCTTCCATTTGACGGCAGCCAGGGTTAGCAATGCCTTAAAAAAAAAATAAAGCCCGTAGATTCCCTAGCCAGTTCTCAGCAGGACAGATGTCACTGATTCGCTCCCTTGCTAGTACTCTTGGCAGAAATGCCAAGGATTGAAAGAGCCATGGAGACTTATCTCCGTCCCCAGAGTTGAGCAGCGGTGATTGGCTTTGAGCAGCTTCCATTGCTCATACTCTTGGTGAACAGGGCTTCAGATTCAAGGGGTGTCAGCCTGGTCCCTTGTTCTCTGCTCTGTGTCCCTATCTGGTTCCCTCATTATATACCTTTTGACCTTTATCTCCATTCCTGTTATTTTTTACTTGTCCCCTGTATTCAGTCAATTTCTAGGTCCCATGGTACTTCCCTCGTCTAGAGGATGGGTCTTTTGTTCTTGGTGGGTTCTGTCCACTGTTCCTGAGGATTCAAATAGGCTGGTCTGGTGTTCTCTTCTCAGCATCCCTGTAGATCCCTCGTTTTGACCCTGTGACCTGCCTTTCATACTTTGTACCCTGTAATCAAGTAAGTGCTGGGCTCTGCAGCATGTCCCTCATCTGAGGGGGTGGGCCTCTTAATTAATCATGTTTGTTTATGGTAGTGTCTAAGGAGCAACCAAGAATGGAACCCTGTTGTGCTAGGCACTGCACAAACATAGAATACTCTTTGCAGGTACTGGGACAAATGAGTCTAGACCTGCCCAAAATTAAAAGCCCCTCCCCCCCATCTAAGGGGGAGGAATCACTAGGCCGAGGCCACAGGTGAGTGCATGGGACTGCGAAGGAGACAACAGGAATGGAAGTGAGGTCAAATGTTAAAAATCAGGGAACCAGAGGGGGACAGCAAACAGAGAAGCCCAAACAGTGCCTGCTGCTCCTCAAAGGTGTCTAAGGAGGTAGTATACAGTCCCCAGGGGAACTGCACCCAGAGTCAATACAGAGTAGCAGACAGTTCCTGACCTGAAGAGCTTACAATCTAAATAGATCAGATAGGCGGGGAAGGGATGTCAGCAAACAGCATGTTCCACAATTTTTGTTAGGTGAGTTTAATTTTGGGGAGGTCATCTAAATGAAAAGTGAAGGGAGAAGGGACTGAGGGGAACAGGGCAGGTGTGGAGTGAAGCTGAGACAAAGAGAGTGGGAAGGGAAGGAGAGGGTTGGAGCCAACAGTTGACTCTGGCCACCATCCTGGGATTTAAATAGTCTGGTAACTTTCACCAGCATTAAATCCACACTACTGGGATTTAGAATGCTATGCAACTTGACAACTAATAACAATAATATTAAATAAAATAAAAAAACCATTACAAATTGCTCTGATACAAATTACTGGGAAGCCTCTGTGGTTCCTGCAGAACATTATTCAGTGTAAACAGCTTGAGAAAAATATGCTGTTTTTTAAAGCTTTCGGAGAACAGTCTGAAATCCTTACTTTGGAAGGATTGTTGTATATCACACTTGGAGTAATTCCAGATACCTCCTTGGAAGCTGGGTTCTTGTAGGGATCTGATCTGTATGGGTCATTGGTCCGCTCCCTAATGTTAATTCTAGTAAAAGTCTGATTGGGCTTGTCTACATAGTGGTGATAGAATGTCTGATGGTGCAAAGTCCTGAGGTAGGTGTTCCTAAATAGTTATCTGGGAAGTCCTGCAGTAGGGATATAAATCGCCAAGAGCAAAATATATCACAATGGTTTATGTCAGTGGTCCCGAGTGCTTGGCTCCAGCCGTTCTATTGTCTTCAGACTTGGCTACAGATCTTTTACAAAGGTCTAGCTCCAATATTTATGTTGGTACATCCTATCCTGCCAGAGCATCAGGAGAGTTTTAAAAACAGGTGTGTAGAAAGTGCCAGGAAAGGCAAGCAGCAACGGCAGCTAGTAAGAGAATCCTAATAACTAATACATGGTGTCTGTTTCCTCATCCCACAGCCTTGGAGAGCAATATTACAAAGATGCAATGGAGCAGTGCCACAACTACAACGCCAGGCTGTGCGCTGAGAGGAGCGTCCGGCTGCCTTTCCTAGACTCACAGACCGGAGTGGCACAGAGCAACTGCTACATATGGATGGAGAAGCGTCACAGAGGCCCAGGTAGGGCCTTTTCTGCTGTTATGGTACAATAGCGTATCCCCAAAGCCAGCACCAGACTTCCCCTCTGCCTCAGCTTACCCACTCTTGTGTAAACTAGCAGGCCAGCTCACCAGCCAATGTGTCAGTGAAGCTCTCCCCAAAGTCTCAGTATTTAACTTCCTTTTCCCAGGGATGCATTAATTTTTCAAACAGATTTCAACATCAGTCAAGACAGGCCTGGCCCCTCCTAGGGCATCTGCTGCTGCCTGCACAGCAGGTATCTCTAGCCAAGTCTTTCCTCTACCTTGTGTGGCAAACATGCCTTCCAGGTCCTTTCCCTGACCCGTGGTCTCTTTCAGTTCTCCTCATTCAGAGAACTGCTTGTTTCTTTTTTCAGAGTGGTAGCCATGTTAGTTTGCATCAGCAAAAACAATGAGGAGTCCTTGTGACACCTTAGAGACTAACAAATTTATTTGGGCATAAGCTTTCATGGGCTAAAACACACTTTATCAGATGCATGGAGTGGAAAATACAGTAGAGAGGTATAAATACACAGCCCATGAAAAAAATGGGAGTTGCCTTACCAAGTTGGGGGTCATTGCTAACGAGCCAATTCAATTAAGGTGGAAGTGGAGTATTCTCAACAGTTGAGAAGAAGGGGTGAATATCAAGGGAGGAAAAATCACTTTTATAGTGCTAATGAGGCCAGTGTAATCAAGGTGGCCCATTTCAAACAGTTGACAAGAAGGTTTGAGTATCAGCAGAGGGAAATTAGTTTTTGTTGTCACCCATCCAATCCCAGTCTTTATTCAGGCCTAATTTGATGGTGTCCAGTTTGCAAATTAATTCCAGGTCTGCAGTTCCTCTTTGGAGTCTGTTTTTGAAGTTTTTTTTGTTGAAGAATTGCCACTTTTAAGTCTGTTGTTGAGTGTCCAGGGAGGCTGAAGTGTTCTCCTACTGGTTTTTTAATGTTATAATTCTTGATGTCTGATTTGTGTCCATTTATTCTTTTGTGTAGAGACTGTCCGGTTTGGCCAATGTGCATGGCAGAGGGGCATTGCTGGCACATGATGGCATATATCACATTGGTAGATGTGCAGGTGAACGAGCCCGATGGTGTGGCTGATGGTGGTTAGGGCCTAAGATGGTGTCCTATCTGAAAAGTCACAGGTGGAGGCTAAGACGAAATCCCTTAAAGGGCCAATTCACCCTGTGGTACATGGGCATAACGCTTGCTGTACTTTATAAGTGTTCAGGTGAGGAAGGAGTGGGGAGGCTCTTTGGTTTTGGTTAATGATGGAGAAGCTGTTTGCCTCAAAGTAACAGGAGTACATTTCTTTTACAGTTCACTTATCTTTCCTCAGCTGCTTTTGCACCTATCTTCCATCATGCACAGTGCTGAAGACTTACCTGTTTATTGTCTTGCATGAATAAGTTCAGCGACCTTTTGTATTCAATGGAGTGTAGTGGTTAGAGCCAGGAAACTGGTAGTCAGGACTCCTGGATTCTAGTCACAACTCTGGAAGCCAGTTGGGTCTAGTTATTATAGCAAGGTGAGTGGGAATTAGGACATCTGGGTTCCCTTCCTGTCTCTGAGTAGAGAGTGTGACTTAATAAACCATGGCAACTGAAAACTGGGGCTGCTGGTTTCTGTGCCTGACTCTGGTACTAACCTGCTATGAACTTGAGAAAATATTCAGGTTCTCGGTGTCCTGGGATCAGAACTGTAACTTGTGATCTCATCAATACATGTGGGATCAGTGTGACCTAGTGGCTAGAACATTGGATTGGAACTCGGGAGACGTGGGTTCTGTTCCTGGCTCAGCCGCTGGCTTGTTGGGTGATCTTAGGTAAGTCATGTCCATTCTGTTCCCATCTCTAAAATGGGTATAGTGATACTGACCTCCTTTGTAAATTGTGGTGTTATTTTATACAGCTCTTTGACAATACAAACTTTGTTTAAGTCATGAGGAATATTATGTTGGAACATTTAGTCTTAGAACCTAACTCTGTATTAGGAAACGCAGAGAAAGCCCTGACATCCCCTAACCTGCAAAAAGAAATGTGTGTGATGGTGTTTATATGATGCTACTACCTGTGGACCACAATCAAGAATCAGAGCCGCACTGTGCTAGTACCTGTGTGGACAAGCTGCAAAGATAGCTCCTGCTCCAGAGAGCATGCAGTCTCGGTATCACAGGACAAAACCGACAAAATGGGGTGAAAAAATAATACTTCGATTGGAAGCTTTTTGTGGCAGGAACCAGTGTTTTGTTCTACCCTGTACAGCACCTAGCACCATGGGGTCCTGGTCCATGACTGGGGCTCCTAGATGCTACTGCAATTCCAGTAATAATGTGAACAGAGGTAGCAGAAATCTTAGCTGGCCTAAGCAATGCTGGACAGCAGTGTTTTGTAGGCATCTCACAGCCTTCTTAAATGTGTGTGGGAGGAATGTGTGGGATTGCAGCTTTGAAGGTTCCCTTGACCATGGCTTTAAGAAACAGAAATTTGGTTGCAAACATGCAGCTGCTGGTAGAAGCTTCCCCTCAGCCCTTTCATTCAGGAGTTCATCTTACCATACTCTGTATGTCATTATGCATTGATATAGACTGAATCTCTCCTACAATGGGGAATGGAATGCTGCCTCTTGGCAGCAAACTTTTGCTCCCAACATTTATCCCATTTTACAGAGAGGCAGTGTGATCCAGAGGGTAGGGCACTAGAATGGGAGTCTGGAAACATGAGGTCTATTCCTGGCTTTGCCAGTGACCTACAGGGTGACCACGAGCCAAGTCACTTTGCCTCTCTGTACCTCAGTTTCCCCTTTCCACCCTGTATCTGTTTAGATTGTAAACTCTGTGGTGGTAAAAAAAAAAGAAAAGAAAAGAAAAGGAGTACTTGTGGCACTTCAGAGACTAACAAATTTATTTGAGCATAAGCTTTCGTGAGTTACAGCTCACTTCATCGGATGCATTCAGTGGAAAATACAGTGGGAAGATTTATATCTTGCCCACCTTGATTATCACTACAAAAGGCCTCTCCTGCTGGTAATAGCTCACCTTACCTGATCACTCTTGTTACAGTGTGTATGGTAACACCCATTGTTTCATGTTCTCTGTGTATATAAATCTTCCCACTGTATTTTCCATTGAATGCATCCGATGAAGTGACCTGTAGCTCTCGGAAGCTTATGCTCAAATAAATTTGTTAGTCTCTAAGGTGCCACAAGTACTCCTTTTCTTTTTGCGGATACAGACTAACACAGCTGCTACTCTGAAATCTGTGTGGTAGGAACTCTCTTGCTATATGATTGTGCCAAACACAGTGGGGCCTTGATCTTGGTTGGGGCCTCTTGGTGCTAGTGTAATACTAATAATAACTTAGGGTCTTATCCTGAGGGGTGCTGGGGTTAGCCACAGTCACCATTGATTTCCAAAGGCAGTGCCTGTACTCATCGCTTTGTGGCATCAATTTGTCAGAGAATATCAGATTTCAGGCTTTCTTTTGTGTTTTAAAGGTTTAGCCTCTGGTCAGCTCTACTCCTACCCAGCTCGCCGTTGGCGGAAAAAACGCCGTGCTCACCCGCCGGAGGATCCAAGGCTTTCCTTCCCTTCCATCAAACCAGGTGACCCTTCCCTTCCCTCTGATCTCTGTTTGCAATGCAGTTATTAGGCTCTTCTCGTGAGCTATTTCACCTCAGGTTATTGCCTGTGATATTAGGGGAGTGGTCTCGATGACCCAGGAGGTCCCTTCCAGTTCTGAGTTTATATATTCTTCTCTCGGGTTGACGATGCAGCCTCACCCATGTCACGTCCATACTGTGCATAGAGCATGGTCAGAAATAACCTCTTGGCATTACTGAGCTCCATAAATGCCACAGTTACACCAGCTAGGGTAGAAATCCTCCATTGTTGGCATTGTATGGGTTGTGGCATTCGTGGCTGAGCTCAACGTAGCGAGAACTTGAGCAGTCAACTGCTAGCTCTACTCATCTGAGCTGCTCCTGTGGGCTGCTGATTTGGGACCATTGCAGGAGCAGGGAGGGAATGTATGTTTGAAGAAGCTGCCTGTTGCTTTACCCCACATGGACACCTTTTGAGTGGGGAATTGGAGTAGATCACTGTTCTGCAGCTTTCCCCAGTTTTTTACCCCATGGGTCTCTAGACCAGTGTGGGAAGCACCAAGGTAGGATAAACATAGGAGAGATCCACTGTCCTTTGGGATCTAAGCCAACTACTAAGCATCTGGTCTTGGGGAAAATACCCCTCCCTCATAAATGTTGTTGCATAATTGTGTATTTTGGAAGGAGTACATCTTCCTTAAAAGGAGTACTTGTGGCACCTTCAAGACTAACAAATTTATTTGAGCATCTGATGAAGTGAGCGGTAGCTCACGAAAGCTTATGCTCAAATAAATTTGTTAGTCTCTAAGGTGCCACGAGTACTCCTTTTCTTTTTGTGGATACAGACTACATGGCTGCTACTCTGAAACCTGTACGTCTTCCTTAGGAACACCTGTTGATGGCCAGTATTGGAGAGATGATACTAGTCTAGATGGGCTCATTGGTCTTATCTAGCATTGTGGGATAGGGGGTGGGGTACCAGGCTAGATGGGTCCATTGGTTTGATTCAGCATTACAGGGAGTGGAAGGGTAGCAGGCTAGACTGACCCATTGTTCTGATCCAGTGCAGTTGGATGGTGGAGATCCTAGAGTAAGTGGTTCTGGGCATGGCAGGTAGATCGTGGTACTGGACTAGAAGAACTGTAATGATATTTTCAGAGTGCCAGTGCAGTTCAGGGTCCCATCTGTGCTACAGAATCAAGTGTATTGCAGAACTCATTTGCAACATTCCTGATACCTGACATTGTAACTCTGTCCCACAGTGTAGACAGGTCCTAATTACATCTCCAAATTGTGCTAATGCCTTGGATGTGTTTTCTCCCTTGCACACAATTAGTTGATTTGGTGGTATAATTGTGACCTAGTAGCATGGAGAACCTACTTCTGTTTTTTTTTAGCTTTTGGCTATAATTTTCTTTCCCCTTTCTACAGATACTGATCAGACCTTAAAGAAAGAGGGGCTGATCTCCCAGGATGGCAGCAGTCTGGAGGCTCTCCTGAGGACTGACCCCCTGGAGAAACGAAGCCTGCCAGACCCGCGCAATGATGACGACAGCCTCAGCGAGTTCCCTGTCACCAACAGCCGTGCGCGGAAGGTACGGCAGAGAGAGGGCATTCTCCCCTATGTTGCAAGAGGGAGCTTCATGGTAAAACACAAATGTCTCACTGTTAAAGACAAACACAGCACACTTTTTTTCTTTCTCTTTCTTCTGTCTTGTTAGGCCCCTCTCTGACTGCTGTTTTGTGGTTAGGGTGTATGTCTGTCTGTCTTTCAGCGGGGGATGAAGACCTGGATCTACGGAGGGACCACTGAGCACTCAAAATTTTGAACCCCTGGTGGGAGCCTGCCATTGGGTGTGGGGAGCAGGAGGTAGCAGTGGCAGAGCAGGAAGCCAGGAGTGCAGTGAACTATTGGATTTGTTTTCTGGTGGTAGAAAAAGAAAAACTCTTTCATTTTATCCAGGCCCCATTTTGGCTTAATAGAGAGGATGCATGTGTAGCGCACTGGACGGGGACTTGGGAGACCTGGGTTCTGTTCCTTGGTCTGCCACTGACTCTGCTATATTAGAGCTAGCTACTAGTATTACTATGAATTTATTGCTGCTGTTTCCCTGACTACCAGTGGAGGAGGGAAGTATTATAAGAGCATTGTGAACTAGTGAGTAGAGCACTGATCTGGGGTTTGGGAGGACTGGGTTCTGTTCCTGACTCTGAAACTGGCCTGCTGGGCAGCCTTGGGATCTGCTGATAAGCACTAAAGAAGCACGAGGTGGTGGTGTAATAATTTAGCTGTGTTATTTTGCATTGGCCCAAAGTTTTAGCTTGCAGGTTCTCAGCCACTAGCAGCTGAAAAGAAAAGTGGGGTAAGGAAGGAGCTGACATCAATTAAGCACACGATCATGATCAATATCGTGGACCGTACTATGCTCTGACTTCCCCCCTGGCCCCACTGCCTTTTGCCTCCTAAACAACAAAGGTTCAGTACAGGGAACCCTGCAGTGATTTTTGCTATGCTTTGGGATGTCTGCAGAGAAATAAATGTTCCCAGGAAATGGGAACAAGCAAGGAAATAACAAAGCACCCTCTAAAAAAAATACCTGTTTCAAAAATTTCCATTGTTTCCAATCAGGGCATTTGTGTAATCTGCAGCAAGAGTGGAGCTGTAATTTTAAGAGATCTGCAAAAGGAGAATAAGGACTGTGCTCATGTGGTTTGGTTTTTTGTTTTTCCCTGTGTTATGATGGAAAAGGAGCCCTGAAAGTGATTATTTTTTTACATTACAGATTTGGGTGTTTGTATGTATTTACAGGGCCTTCATTATCATATTATCGGTTTGCCCCAAAGAGCTTCATACTTAGGTAAACAGCAGCTCTGCTCTTCCTTGTTGGATACAAATACTCCAGCTGATGGTTTAAATTCCTTCTAAGATGTGCGGCTGCGCAGCTGCCTATTAAGCCCTGTGCAGGGGCTCAGGGCTGTGGTGGGGAGAGGCGGCCCCAGCTGGGAGCTGCCGCAGCGGGGAGGGGGCTGGGGGAGTACTCTCTCCCCGCCGTAGCCCCTGGGCAGCCTGCACCCAAAACCTCTCATCCTGGGCCCCACCCCAGAGCCTGCACCCCAATCCTCTGCCCCAGTTCTGAGCCCCCTTCCATAACCCGAACCCTCATCCCTGGCCCCACCACATGAATTTTTTTATGTGCACCAGTATGAAGGTGATGTGTCACACATCACCTCCATATTGGTGCACCTAACAATTCATTCTGCACATGGATATAAAAAATTAGAGGAGACACTGCTAATAGGGCTGCTGTCTACTTCATGATGTTATCATTTTTTATCACTGATAAAGAGCATGTTAAAAAGTAATTAGGGCTTTTAGTGATGTGTTGCCCAGGATGAAGTAGTTGGAAACCACTTTCCATTCCACCCCTGTTTTCCCTTTTATTCCTTTTGGAGCCCAGGTTGGTGATTTTTGTTGTTTTGTGTTTGTTGTCTCAAGCAGAAGCCCTGTGACTGTGGTCGCTACTTTACTTCACACCTATGGGCACAAGTTCAATCTGCAACTGATTGCCGCAATCCTGACTAATGTGGCTGTGGTGCAACAGTAATTAATCCCACCTTTGTGGTAGCATGAGGATGTTCACTTGGTGCTTAAGTTGTTTCATCCTTGCAGCCTTATTTTATGGGGAGCCATGTGTACTTGGTTTTATATTTGTAGATACTTGTGCAGCCAGACTTGTTCGTTTCTTTTGAAGTGAGTTTTTTGGCTTGGAACTGGTGCACCTTGTGTGAATTCTTCAGCGGATAATACTTTGCCTTGATCCAAGTTTATGGAAGCCCTTTATGAGAACAAGCCCTCACTATACCCATATAAGTATAGGTAAGAGGTGGTTATGTTATAATAATAATATCTAGCTCTTGCAAAGCACCATGTTCACTCCTGGGCTCATGACAACTCACTGCTGTACCCTCAGTCGGGTGCAGAAGACAAAAGGGTTTTATTTAACAATCGCCCCCTTCAGGCAGGGCATTATTTGCACTAGTCTTACTCGGTACCCAGAGGCAAGACAGGTAGCAAATCAAAACTGTAGTCCTGTGTCAAGCCTACCTTTCTTCAGGGAGGTTCTGGCAGACAGCCATCTCTAGTCAGCTCCTCGCCAGACTTGTCTTACAGAGTGAGAGCTTGGAGGTCTTTTCTCCATCCTATCCAGCTCACAACAGAGCTGGGCTTTTCCCATTTTCCATTAACCCTTCCGTCTGAGCCTGACACCTGTTGCAGATATAGCAGAGGGGGCTGACTGAGCCTGCAGCAGCACATTAACCTTTTCCTGGCAATGTGGGATTTATGTGCCTCATTGCAAGCACCTGCCATCAGTAGATCACAAAATGGGGTACTTTCATCCCCCCCTCACATGCAGCCATCTCTGTTATGGAATGCAGTGGCTGTTTACAAAAGTTTAGAGCAGGAGCAAAGAGCACTGTATCCAAATGAAACAGCAAGGGGATTAAGGGAGACAGAATGGAATTACCCTAGTTGGGATTTAGCCAGGATATAACCCTTATTGTTATAAAAGTTCCATGGGACCTGTAATGCCTCATAAGCAATGGGAATTTTATTTTCCTTGTCACCTGAAAAATGGTAGCTCTGTGCCTCCTTCTAGTATCCTGGAGGGCTTGGGATCAGTAGCTCTAATGTGGAGGAATGCTGTCTGCTGAGTTGCCCACACAGTTCCTTTCATACAGCACTGCCCTGGTATCTTACTGAGGCACTGGGGTCAGCACTGACTTGAAGGAGGGCCCTCTACTGAGTTGCCCTCACTACTCATTGTAGCACTTTGTGCTCACTGATGTGTCCCTCCCTGTTGTATCAAATATAGTGTTTCTCTGCTTTGGAGCTCTACTATTCAGATATTGCCCTTGCTGATGTGATCTGATGTGCGTTCCTTCACAGCGTAAGATGGCCAGCATACAAGAACCTTGGGGTTGGTCCTTCTGTTTGCCTCCGCAAAAAGGAAGTATTGGGTTCAAACCTTCCATTGTAGTCTGGGTTGATTGATTCCACAGCTGTGGCGTGATGGTGGGGTGTATGAGCTGGTGCCATGCTTTGAATTACATTACACCAAAGTTCCTTTCTTCCTAATCTCTGCATCATCCCTCACCTCTTCAGGAGATGAGGCTACTAAGCCCTGTGTACTAGCCCATGCTCTCACTCACTGTATAACATGTTAAAAATAACAAAAGTAATACCTAGTTCTTCTGTAGCATGTTTCATCAGTAGTATTTTACGGAGGAAGCAAGTGCTATTATCCCCATTTTACAGGTAGGGAAACTGGGGCACAGAGTTGAGGGGACTTGCCCAAGATCACCCAGCAGGTCGGGGCAGAGCTGAGAATAGAACCCTAAGTCCTTGTCCAGTGCTCTATCCATTAGGTGGCTCTGACCAGAGTCCAGGGCTGCTTGTGAGCTGTAGCTGCATGTGTAAGGCTCCTCTGTTTAGCTTGTGCAATCACTGCAATGCTGTGTTTAATTCTGCTGTTGTGGAAAGTTAATATCCTGGGAATCCTAGAGTCTCCCTCTGTAAAACATCAAATATTATCTTTTGTTAAAGATTTCTCCCCTTCCCCACCCCAACTGAAAATTAACTTTGGATTCTAGGAACTTTTTTCCCATAAGAAGGGTGGAATTTGCTGTGAAATGTAAATGAGGCCCTCAAAGCCACAGGGGGCTCTGCTCTTCGTCATCTCCTATTGAACTGCTGAATCTATATTAAATGCATTGGCCAACCTCCAGGAACGCCTCACATACCAGGGCCCTACAAGCCTAGTAAGGATTGGAGCTGAATGGAGAAAATGTCTTCACCGTGCATTTTGTTCTTATCCTTTACCCCATTGTCAGACTAATTTTTGTGGAAGGAGGGTTGGGGGTGGGAATTTTCCAGCTGAAAATTTTGCAGATTTACATGTGTAAAAACTGCTTTCACCTCTGCCTGGGTATTTTCTTTTGCATCATTGTCTTGGTCATTCCTTTGTGATCCAGTGAGAGAGGGGATGGTTTAGTGCATTGAATATCAGGTTGGCAATAACTTACTTGGTTCCGTAACGATGCAATGCATTGCCATAAATGTTCCAGTTTCATGGGTCTCGGTTACCATGGCAAATTGTAATGGTTACTACTAGTTATTATTTCGGTTGCTGTTGGCCAACTAAAAGCTTGGCCCCACTGCTATGCACTGAACAAACATACAGAAAGAGACAGTTCTTGCACTGAAGAGCTTAAACAGAGGCATCAAAAGGGGATGGGGCTTGGCCAAAGTCACACAGTAGGTCAGTGAAATAACACCACAGATCTCCTGATTCCAGTGCTCTATCTGCTACGCTGCACTGCAGAGCAACTATATTAAACAGCCTTAGAGGAAGACTTGCTTGAAGTACATGTTAAAATCCCAGGAGGGTTGGCTCTGTTCTTTATCCTTCTTGGGCAGATAAATTGAGTTGTATACAGTTCATTGTGTGTAGGACCTTAAATTCCAAAATATTTTCTGGTCGCAAAATATCCCGTGGCTCTTTCCATAAGAGTTGAGGTCTTTGGCCAAATTCCAGTTCTCCCTCCTGGATTCCCAAATGCACTTTCAGGCAGATTCATTCTTTCTTTTGTCCTAAACTGTTGGGGTTGGTTAGTGTAAATTAGGAGTAACTCCAGATGAAATTGGTAGGCTGGTGTGAAACTGATGTCACAGTAAACCAAGGCAACTGCATTCCAGACTCCTTTGTGGTCTGGCTTAGGGCATCTCCATTCAGGTCTTGGAGCAGGAACCTTTCTTGGAGCAGGAACCTGCATTCCTCTCCCTTCTTTCTGGAGATTTAAGCTACAATTTCCTCCTGAAACTCACTGTGATCACCATAGCAAGATGGAGTTTAGTTCAGCTCTTGCTGTCCTGCTCATTCCCAGGGACAATGACAGAGTTTAGTGACCAGCCATCCTTCATAAAGGAAGGTATTTATTCAGAACCAAAAACACTACAGAGAAAACATATCTTGAAAACCATAAATATCTTGCACCCATGCTGTTTTACCAGGTGGTGTTCATCTTCCACCTGAGACCCTGTAAGGTTTCAAGGTCCCTCAAACCTTTTGTCTGGGTTTGTTCCTCTTGGGTCCAGGAGCTGACATGAAACTATAATCAGAGTGACACCCCCCCCCCCCCCCAAAAAAAAAAAAAAAAAAAAAAAGCATGCTGTCCGTCCATTCTGTACATTTCTCAGTTCTCTGTCTGCTGGTTCTCAGGAACCTGTCAAAAACAGTCTCTGCAGTTTCCCCCCATGCTATGGGGATCTTTAGAGAGTTGCAGTAATTATCCCTTAATGTTGTTAGTTTCTGATAGTTCATTTATGCTAAGTGACTTCCCCTGAGTCACTGTACTGCTTGTCTTGTTTCAGGAGAAAAGTTTAACCCCTTCAAACTTAGTAGGCAATTATATAACGTGAGAAGGGAAATTGAGTCATACATTCTTTGATAAAAATAAATCAGAAGTTTCCCGGTTCTCCACAATCAGAATCTGCGTTCCATCGCAGAGACAGCTGCAACTTAGCGTTGTGTGAAGCAATCCCCCTCCATGCTCCATATAGGGACAAAAGGTGCTAAAGAAATGTATTATCACGGGAACTTCAGTGTAAACAATGTTTTTCTTTCTAGGCTTTTATACAGCACTCTTTACGATGGTGTCTGTGTTATATATCCTTTGCATGGGACTGATTTTTTTTTTTTTCTTGTATCACAGCAGCATCTGGAGGCCTCATCAGGGCCCTATTCTCCCAGGTGTTGTGCACATATTGTGTTAGGTAATGGGACAATCTCTATTTGAAAAGTTCTGTATAGACAAGACAGGCAAAGTGTTGGGTTGAAAGTGAGAAAGTATTATCCCCATTTTACTGGTAGGGAACTGAGGCACCAAAAGATTAAAGCTCCAATCTAATCAGTGCCTAACTTTAAAACCGTGAGTAGTCTCATTTAATTTGTCATGTAAATAGTGCCTAGGAGCCCGTTGTGCCTGGGCCCTGTACAAACATAGAGCAAAGAAATGTCCCCTGCCCCAATGAACTTAACATCTGAGTGTAAGACCAGAGAACACGGGTGGACACAACAAACGGACTAGGGAGCACAAGCAAACAATGAGACCATGATGGGCAGTGGTCACAGTAATCCATAATTAGCCACCATTACTTATACTCTGTTTGTTACAATTAAGTACTTTGGGGATAGCAAAATCTGCTACACATTGTATCATCCCTACTTCCTCCATCCAAGCATGCATTAAAGGAGAAGGCAATCACTTTTGTGTCTCTTCCTCTAATGACAGGTTTCAGAGGAACAGCCGTGTTAGTCTGTATTCGCAAAAAGAAAAGGAGTACTTGTGGCACCTTAGAGACTAACCAATTTATTTGAGCATGAGCTTTCGTGAGCTACAGCTCACTTCATCAGATGTATACCGTGGAAACTGCAGCAGACTTTATATACACACAGAGAATATGAAACAATACCTCCTCCCACCCCACTGTCCTGCTGGTAATAGCTTATCTAAAGTGATCAACAGGTGGGCCATTTCCAGCACAAATCCAGGTTTTCTCACCCTCCACCCCCCCACACAAATTCACTCTCCTGCTGGTGCTAGCCCATCCAAAGTGACAACTCTTTACATAATCAAGTCGGGATCTATGCAGGAAATAGCCCGACTTGATTATGTAAAGAGTTGTCACTTTGGATGGGCTAGCACCAGCAGGAGAGTGAATTTGTGTGGGGGGGTGGAGGGTGAGAAAACCTGGCTTTGTGCTGGAAATGGCCCACCTGTTGATCACTTTAGATAAGCTATTACCAGCAGGACAGTGGGGTGGGAGGAGGTATTGTTTCATATTCTCTGTGTGTATATAAAGTCTGCTGCAGTTTCCACGGTATACATCTGATGAAGTGAGCTGTAGCTCACGAAAGCTCATGCTCAAATAAATTGGTTAGTCTCTAAGGTGCCACAAGTACTCCTTTTCTTTTTGCTTCCTCTAATGGTGAGAATAGAGAATCTGCTCCATAGTAATTAATTTTTCTCTCTTACTCCCCTAGCAGGGCATTTTTGTAGGGCCTTTTCCAGTAGCTCCCAGTTTGGAATGAGCAGTGTTCCTTGGCACTGCAGTTCTCTCATCACTGAGTCTGTTCTGCAATAAGCTTCTTGGCTATGATGTTTTATGTGCCCCTGGATTAAATTCCTGCACTTTTAAAAAAAATAAATCACTACTCGGTACTTAATGTGTGGCTAACTTTAAAAGTTTCATGCAGAATTGGGGACTGAGAGACTCATCCAAGGTCCATAGTAGATCCAGGAGCTGAGGGCCAGGTCTTCTGAATCACAGCCTGGTTCTGTAACCACAAGACCAGCCTTCTCTTTGGTGTGATTGGGAGTAAAATGTACCTGAAAATTCCCACCCCCTCATATATGCCACTTACTCCTCCCTGTGTGTTTGTAGCTTCTGGTGGACATCCCTCAGCCAGGTTCTAACGTCACTGTCCATTCTCCATTTCTTTCTTTCCCAAACCATGCCAAGTTTTTTTTCCCCCCTACAATAAACCCTCTCCCCTCTACAGCGGATCCTTGAACCTGATGACTTCCTGGATGATCTGGATGATGAAGACTATGAAGAGGATACACCAAAGCGACGAGGCAAGGGCAAAGCCAAGGTAATGCCAGCTGGATGAGTTATGGTGTTGTGGGTCTCGATGGGCCCAGCCTAGTGACTGTGCTGAGTCTGCCCTATGAATTTCTCCTGAAGTCTGATATACCAATGCTCGCTGTAAAGGCCTGTCACCATTAATGTTTGTGATCATGTTGTAAACCATTTTCAATACTATGTATATCCACACCCAACACGGTTACAGAACACGTTGCCACAATGTTAAGAAATAGGGCTGGGATTTCCAAAGAAGCCTAGGGGAACTCAGCTGAATTTCAGTGGGATTTGGGTACCTGGCTCCCTGTTTGAAAACCCTAGGCTGGTTGCCCAGCCCTTCCCAAACCTCCCACTGTCTCACTACGACTGGTGCAAGCAATGCCAAGAGCCTGGATTAGACAACATCATGTGCATTTTTGCCATCATGTCATCAGATAGGGTCTAGATCAATGGTTCTCAAACTTTTGTACTGGTGACCCCTTTCACATAGCAAGCCTCTGAGTGCGACCCCCTTATAAATTAAAAACACTTTTTAATATATTTAACACCATTATAAATGCTGGAGACAAAGCAGGGTTTGGGGTGGAGGCTGACAGCTTGTGACCCCCTGGGGGGTCCTGACCTCCAGTTTGAGAACCCCTGGTCTAGATGATGCAGCAGTTGAAATGTCCATTGGAGTTGCACTGATGAAGGTATGATGAAGGAGTTGCACTGATGAAGGAGTTGCACTGATGAAGGTATGTCTCACAGTAGACCAGTCAGGAGAGCGCTGAAGCAATTGCTCAAATGCTGTTGCAATGTTGTCTGGAAAGAATTTTAATGAGAACTCACCTGTGGGTTAGATGTTCTGGGTGATTACTACTGCTGGTTCACTTCTTTTTCAGTTCCATAGACTTTATGGCTAGAAGCAACCATTAGATCATCTAGTCTGACCTCCTATATAGTACAGGCTATTTAATTTCAGCCAGCCAATCACTCCTGCAGTGGCCACATTGACTTCAGTTAAGCCAAAGCATTTTAGTCCTCAGAAAACTAAACTGTTGTGTGCTCCAGGAGAGAGGGAGGTGCCACCAATGCTTAATGGTAGGGAATTAATTAGGTGAGACATGTCCAGATGATCCTGGTAGATGATCCATACCTCATGCTGCAGAGGAAGATGAAAACCTCCTGAAGTCCCTTCCAGTCTGTCCTGGGGGAATATGCCTTCCCAACCCCAAATCTGGTGATCAGTTAGACCCTGAACATTTGGAAAAGACACATTAGCCAGGTGTGAAAGACACAGGATCCTCTGAACCATCTCAGAGTGCCAGTCCACCCCAATGGGTGTCCTCCAGTGGCTGATCTCAGAGAAAGATGGAAGAAAACCAAAATAGATAATAATTGAGTATCGGAGGGAAAAAAAATTCCTTCCTAACCCATGCAGGGCTGAAGCCCTGAAGCATGAGTTTAGAGAATAGTCATTATTATATTATCACAGTCTCTGTCTCATGTTCAGAAAATGGGAAAATCTCTCAAGGGATAGTCAGACTCTGGTAGCTGGGCTGGATCAACTGGGTAAATAACCACGTCTTAGTTCACTTTAATGTGGTTCTTTGAATTTCCTGAGAAAATCTGATTGTTTTAATCTGTGACCCACTTTGTGTTGGTCTCCAAGGCCAGTTCTTGCCTGGCATGTGATCTACTTGAATGTATAAATAGGGGAGTAGTGAGTAGGAGGGAGGTGATTGATAGCTGGTGAACATGCATGGAGAGACTTACGGTATGTCTATGCTACAATTAAACACCTGTGGCTGGCCCAAGTCAGCTGACTCAGACTTGTGGGGCTCAGGTGGTGGGGCTGTAAAATTCCAGTGTAGACATTAAAGCTTGGGCTGGAACTCTGGCTCTGGGACATACTCTTAGGAGGGTAGGCATACTGAGTGTAGACATTCCCTAAAAGGTCTGTGTAGCTTATCAAAAAGGAGATTTGAAAAGTGAATTGATTTAGGGTGTATATGTCCTTTACAGGGAGAAAATCCCAGTTTACTAAAGGGGTCTTTAACCTAGTGGAGAAAGGCAGAACAAGAACCAATGGCTAGATGTTAAAGCCAGACAAATTCATATTAGAAATAAGGCACACGTTTTTCACAGTGAGAGTGGTTAGCCGTTGAACAAACTCTCAGGGGAAGTGGGGAATTCTCCATCTCTTGGTGTCTGCAAATCCAGACTGGATACTTTTTTGGAAGAAGCTTTAGTGAAACCCATGAATTGAGCCCAGTAACTTGTGTAATTGGCCAGAATTCTCCAGTCTGAGTTACACAGGTCAAATTAGATGATCTAATGGTCCATTCTGGCCTTAAAATCTATAAATTATCTTAGGCAAAGACCACTAAGGGGCGCTATTTGATTGCTTATTTTGTTAGCTTAACTACAGGCATGCAGGAGCCCCTTTGACTAGTCCCTTATGGACTGTCAGCTAGTTTGGTGGCATAAAAATGACTAAATTCTAGAAGCAAATGTCTTGGCGATGGCACTTTACTGATATGTTTTCTGGTTCCCAGGGTAAAGGCGTCAGTGGTGCTCGGAAGAAGCTGGATGCAGCCATATTAGAAGATAGAGATAAACCTTATGCCTGCGACAGTGAGTATGAAAAGCGCTTGTCTCCCTGTAGTCTGTACTCTGGGACCAACCTGTCTCCAATGTATTTGCTTTTGGAGTGAGCTTTTGAAGGGAGTAGTGTTCCAGGATCCATTGGGGGCAGGATGTGATTTTTGCAGGGGTGTGATAGTCATTCAAAATGAAGGTGGATCTGAGAATATTTAGAGGACTTGTAAGTTCCCCCTTCTTTGTTTTTACTGGAGCCATAGCCCTAATCCAGATCTGTCATTTCTGCTGGGTGCGGAGAATCCACAGTTTGTTTTTTTTCCTGGAAGGACACATGCAATATCTGGCATTGGGGGTAGGTTCTCCTACTCCAGCAGAATGTTCACTAAGCAAGGAGGCCATTGCAGATGTCTGGACTGCATGAAACGGCTGGTCACTCCGCTTGCATTCTTGCAACACTTTAGCCTGCACCACAGGTGTGAGCGGCATTTCTGGCAGCAGTGCCAACATGTTACTTTTTTGTTCTGCTGCAAGGAGCTGTCAGAGCTCCATATCAATGTCCAGCCAGGGTCTCTGAATCTAATGGTGAGAATTGCCTCTTGATTGTATGGGTATGGGTAGTGGGGATAATGAACACGGAGGTCTCATTCCCACTAACCAGGGTTCCTGTCTTTGATTTCTAGGTTCAGTCTGTTTTATGGGCCTGGAAAAGCCCTACCCACCCTTCCCTATGCTATTCAATACATGACTCAGCTATCTGTTTGCTGCAGGGTTTGTGGAATCCAATTACTTTGTCCTCTCCCTCTTCTCAGACCTCATAGTTCAGCTGGAGGGCAGGGATCAATTCTGTCCTACTGGAGATATAGTCGCTGCTCTGCTGATTGTTGTCCTAAAGACCTTTTGGTCCATGCTCTGGCCACGAAACATGGTTTTCATGCCACATTTGTGGTGTGGGAGAGCTAATTTTAGCTCTAATGGGATTCAATTTCAGTAATTTTATTGGCAACAGAAAGGCATACTAGCCCTGCCGGGAATGAATACATCAAGCGCGTGTCTAGGGCAAGTAAATGGGATTTCTATGATGTCCCTGTTGTGTGTGACTCCGTTTCTGATTTGGTAGCAGCCACTACGTCCCCCAAGAACTCGTCCCATGCTGCCCCTTGCAGAGTTCTATGCTGTTATTTCCTTCCTAGCTGTCAGTGGGAATGCCACTGGAAAAGCTTAAGCAACCCAAGGGAGCGGCTATTCCTGCAGTTCTGAACTTTAAATTGGCAAAAGAATGTACAAAATCCTGAGTTTTTGCAGTTACTTCTCTCTCTCCTTCCTACTGTCCTGGTAGAATTGTCACCAGTTTTTTAAGAAAACTAAGCAGTATTTTTTCCTATTTTCTCCTTTTAAAATCACTCTGCTCTCTGTTGCTTGCCATGTGTGTGACCTATGGTGTGTTCACCTTTTTTCTCATTATTCTCTTTCTGTATTTCAGATAGTTACAAACAAAAGCATACCTTGAAACCTCCCGACCGAGGTAGTCCATTCTCTCTGTCTGCTTTTTTTATTTCCTCCTGACTTTGTTCTCCTGGAATGTTAGTTTTAAAACTCTTTGGAGTGGGGTCTCAATCCAGAGCACCAAGAAAAATCAAACCAAACCGCCACCACAGTTGGCACAGATTGGCTCTCCTGTTGCCTTAGAGGCCATGGATTAATGGGCCATGGAGACTGAGCTTCCCCTTTCACTTTGGCCAGGGTTTTCAAACGTGACTGGTAATCTTGGGTTGCCCAACCTGAGCGTCCTTATTAAAGGGACCTGATTTTCAGAACATTACACTAAGGAGGACCTCCTGGTTCATTGAGTCCAGTCCCTGCTATCTCAGGCAGCTCTGTCATGTTAGCCTGATCATAAATTTATCAAGTTCCCTTGTCAGACTAGTTGTTTTTCAGAGGTTGGGCCCACGCACTTGCTTAAAATCAGGCCCCTCAAAGATGTCTCAAACAGGGTATTCAAAATTGCTAGTTGCTTTTGAAAATCTTCCTTCTTGCCCACAGTGCGGGGAGAAATTTGCCCAGCTGTTCCTGGTGCTGTGGATGCAAAGAGGCCTCACTGTCTTGGGATGTCAATCTGGCCCTTTTCGCCAGCAGTAAATTCATGTGATAAATCAAACCCACTCTGGAATGGCTGAGGCATGACTCTTTTTCTTCAAGGAATGCCAAAGTATATTGCTACTGGAATAGGCACTGTGCTTTTACTCTGTCAGAACCCGGCCATGTCAGACTCTGGATGAGGGTCAAAGGTTATCAACTGCCATTGAGATTTTGTCTCAAATATATGTACTTAAAAAAAGCATGATTTCTCTCCCTCTGTGATGGTGCTGGCTAGGCCTCCTCTGAAACATAAGGACCATCTTTATACTAGGGGTTCTGGGTTATCACAGGCGATGCCTTTTGAGAAATGGAGATGTTATGGGTCCCTTAAAACTGCAAGATGTTTGAATGAATGACATCATGTGGGGTGTTGACCATTGTCCTCAAAATTCTGAAGGGGGTGGGACGGCTTGAACTGGTCCCTGTTGGCTGCTGTAGCAATGCCTCCTGGCCTGGCAAGGACACCAGTGACACATGCCCAGCTGGTAAATGATGGTGTAATAAGAGTCAAATTGGTTTTTCCTTATGCTGCCATTCCGCCTCTTAGCTTAGACTTATGGTGGCTTTTTTGACTCACTGGGCTCCTGTGCCTCCTAGCTAATATGCTACCCCATCTCGCTTAAGCTGCACCTGCATGGCTCTGCCAAATGCTTCCCTTTTCTTCCACAGCCGGGATTAGATATTAATGCAACACCAGGTCCAAAAGGCTCCTGGGCAAGCCAGTGCGTTGGCTGGGGCTCTGGAATTTGCAGTCTCTGTTAAATATTTGATGAGCAAAGTTATGGGTCTGCAATTTTCTGTAACAGTGCATACTTCATTGACCTCATTAAACTCCTCACATGGGGCCTGATCACCCATCATTTGTTACGTGGCATCTGTAGTGAAGAGAAGCGTATGGGCTCTCCTACCCTCCCCCAGCCACTCTGCTGCCTCTGTTCTCTGTGGTGCAACAGTATTGTCTGGTTACAGCCAGGGCCTGAGAGTCAGAACCCTCAGGGCTCTAGTCCTACCTCCAGGAGGGGTGAGTGGTGGTCTAATGGGTTGGAGTGGGGAGGGGAGGAGAGGAGGAGTCAGGCTTCCTAGCTCCAGGAGGGGAGTGGGATATAGTGGTTAGAACAAAGTGGGGGTGGAAGTAAGAACTCCTGAGTTCTGCTTCAGACTCTGACGTCGGAGACTCTGCATGATCTTTGCAAGGGTCTTAATTTCTGTTATCTATAAAGTGGTGGATAAATATTCCCCTTTGTCAAGTGCATTGGGGTCTTTGAATGAAATACGCAGAATAAAGAATAGACATTTTAATTCTCATTGACATGACTATTAAATACTTATAATGTGGTATTGCCTAGACTAGAGGCCAGCCATCAAGAAGCTAACCATAACCCTGGCTTTCCCAATGACTGCTCAGAGTCCAATTTCATTCCATCTAAGCCAGTGTGTGCAAGATCCCTGCCACGGCAGAAGTATCCAGAGAACAGTGCTGCTGGAGGAGCTAGCCAGGCCTGGTTTGTACTTGTGTTTACACAGAGCTAAGAGAGCAATAATTCCCTTTGGCAAATGGGCATTTCAATTGCTATGTAAATTGACGGTGGCTTAAAGTGGTTTTAGAGGGATTTGCCTTTTTTCCCCTTTCTTTGCTAGATCCAGGTCTTCAGTTAAATAACTAAGAGGCTTGGTCTTTCTCTTGTCCCCAGCTTTGCTTTTCCGGGCAAATCTTGGCAAGCTCCAATTAATCCATCCTTCTCCAAGACCCAGTTTAAGCTTCATCGCTTTCCCTCAGTCCTCCCTGCCTCTCTCCTCCTTGTTATCCAGCCAGGACTCCATTCCCACCCACTAGTAAGCATGGGTAATAGGGATTTTAAGTAAAGTTATCCAAAGCAACTAAGTGACTTAGGAGCCTAAGGCATGGCCCACACTGAAAAGTATTTCTGGCCTACCTATGTCAATTAGAAGTGACCCGTAACCGACAAGCTGTGCCGGTAAAATCCTTAGTGTAGACATACTATACCAGCAAAAAAAATCCTAGCTTATTTCGTTCGAGGACTTAGTATAAGTTATACTGTCAAAAGAACTCTTTTTTTTTTTTGATGGTATAGGTTGCATCTCCACTAAAGCCCATGTCCACGCTGGGAGTGCTTTACTGTTATTCTTCCTCCCTCCCCAGTTTTGTTTCAAGCAGAATGTAATAGATATAATGGACACCAGCTGTCTCAGAGTGGGGCTAGAATACCAAACCCCTTACCACTAGTTCGAATCCAGTCTGGGTCATTGTGACTGAAAGCAGTCCTCATCTGACTGTGGTTGGGAGGCCGGCATATGAAACGAGTTGGGTGGGTTTCAGTCTATATACTACACTGACAAATCACTCCTAGCATGGACAGCGCTATCCCAGCACAGTAAAACCAACATGCACACCCAGATTCCCCCTGAACAAAACAAGCTGTATCAGTAAAAGTACGGCTTTGCTGGTTTGATGATACTAGGGACTTCTGCCAGCATGGCTTTATCGGTCAGCGATCTCCCCTCTTTGTATCGCTGACTGACATAGCTATTATGCAGGTCAAAATCCCTAGTGTAGACATGGCCTAGGGAGGGGTTGCTGATGAAGCTCTATTGATAGAGCTGCTCTGACAAACCCTTTATAGTGGGAACAGTGCCTGGTTCAAACAAGCCCTGGTTCAAAAGTGATTTAGGGAAGCCAAGTCTCATTGAAGCTCAGTGGGATTTAGGCTCTTCTAAGAACTCTTCTGAACATTTTGCTTACTGCCCTTCTGCCTCAGCTGCTTGGTGGCATCGACAAGTGGGATTTGGGGGTTTTGTCTCACTGGGTTAAGTGGGATAAAACAAGATGGCCAAGTTAGGGATCTTTGCATGCAAGGGTAGATCCTCTACGGTGGCCCAGCTTCCACCGCCAAAGCAAATGAGAGCAAGCTAGGGGGAATGCTTGGCATGATCACTGAGGAACCATGTGCCAGCTGGGGATAGCAGCAGCACATTGTGCTCCAGCCACTCCTGAGAGGGAGACACGCACGCCACCCCTATGCTGGGAACTGCAAAGAGGGAGGCATAAGAGCCAGCTCTGGCTACTGAGGGTTTCCCAAGCTGTAGTCTTGTAGGAGGTTCCCACTCCAGTGGCACAAAGGGAGTGGATTGCAAGAGAAAACCTGCCGTGTCTGTCCCAGCCCCCACCCCCAGTTCTGTTTTAAGCAAGATGTAATTGCTATAACGGGTATCAGGTGGCTCAGGATGTGGGGTAGAATACAAGCCCCTCACTTCCAGCTCACCAGTTTGAATACAGCCTAGGCTGTTGGTGATGACCAAAAGCAGCTACCATCTGACTGCTGATTGTTCGCTAGTACATGAAATGAGTCAGGTTGGCCTCAGGCCAGTTCCCAGTGGCGCCAGCTCTCAGAAGCCTTCTGTTGACGCTGAGAGGCCAGTGGATATGCCATGAAGACTGACATCTCAGTCTGCCACCCCACAGTGGTGGGGAAGTCCCTTCACAGTAGGACTTGTCCTGGCTGTCTTGTGGCCAGAGGGTGTGAGAGAAACTTGTGCTGATGCTGCCTGCGCTGTACCTGTTCCATGGGCTTTGGTCTCTGAGGCTGCCATTCTGGTACCAAATAATATCAGGGGTAAATGGTAAGAAAGGAATGTAGACTGGGGAAGTGGCTCCCAATTCCAGGGGCATTATGCTCTCTACGTCCAGCCCTGCAAGGGAGGTTGGTTTATTGCATAGAAAACAGGCCTTTTCTCTACGCCCTGTGGCTGTAAAGCAGCTGCCTTTTAGGGACAGCAAAGCAGGCAGAGGCAACAGAAGTGTGTGTGGGGATAATGTGGTGGTTGCTTTCCGAGAGTCTGTGTGGGATGCCTTCAGCTTGGTTCCAGTGTCTCTTGATCCGAGAAACGATGCATCCAAGGAGACACCACCTTTAGGAGGCTCAGGCCTGAATTTCAGAGTTAGGCAGGTTTAAACCCAAGAGAAGATGGGGAATTTCCTTCTGTGTTTCATGGCTTGGATTGTTCTGGACAAAGCTTTCTCATCCCCATGAAGATTTACTGGGCAAGGAGGAGAGGTAGGGGGAAAGTAGAAGGATTTATGGCTTACAGTCAGCAAAGGTAGAAATGCCCATGGCTTCTCGGGGTCTGGCCAAACTATGAGTCTGCTGGCTCATGAAGCAGCCTCCTGAAGCCATGCTGGCTGTTCTACACTGTTAACTGCTGTGTCTTCAGGAGAAGGGTGGGTTGGGAAGGGCTGTCTCAGAGATCTGGGGGGTTGCACATGAGCAGGGATGTTTGTGGCTCGGGTGCCTGCCAGGAGCACAGACCCATCCCCATTTTCTTTTGCAGTCTGTGGGAAGCGTTACAAGAACCGCCCTGGGCTCAGTTACCACTATGCTCACTCCCATCTGGCCGAGGAGGAGGGGGAGGATAAGGAAGATTCGCAGCCCCCGACGCCCGTCTCCCAGAGATCTGAGGAGCAGAAGTGTAAGACCATTAGCCCCTGACTTGACCCCATCTCCTGTGTGTCCTGGCTCTTCTGTAGCCTTAGGGCCAGAAGGTAGTGGTGAGGGAACCAAGACTATGACTGGGACTCCTGTGGTCTATCTCCACCTCTAGGAGGGAAGCGGGGGGTCTAGAAGGCTAGAACAAGAGGGGCTCAGTCAGGACTCCTTGGTTCTGTCCCTGGCTCTAGGAGCATAGTGTGTTAGAGAAGGGAGCTGAGACACGTGGGATCCGTGGGAACCAATGTAACCTAGGTTGGAGGAATTAGCAGAGTGGTTAGATTAGCCAAACCACAACTCAAGATTCCTGGATTCTTTTTCTACCTCTGCCCCAACTAGCTGTGTGTTAGGTGAAATGCTTCCCCTCTCTGTGTCTGTCTACCTTTGCATAACACAGGTAAAAGAACAGTTACCTTTGTTACATGCAGATTTGTGTTTGTAAAGTGCTTTGAGATCCGCAAATGAAAGGTAATGCAGAGACAAAATTTATATCCGCTTTTTACCTGTGGATATCTGCGGAGTTGTAGGCTCTAGCAACAACGAGCGAAACCAGAGGCGAAAGCTAATATGTGAAAGTGGCTTGCACGCTCTTGGACAGGAGATGCACACTGCTGCATGGAAGGGACTCCTGTCCAGGAGTGTGCGAGCTGTTTGCGCACAGTAGCATGACCAGGGACAGCTGTTGGTGATCCTTGTGCCTGCCCCAGTGAGTAGGGCTGGGGGCAGTACAGCCACACCAGAGGAGCTGCCAGGCTGGGTGCTGGCTCCTGTGAGTGGCGGCCCGTCATGCTGCTGCTTTTGCTGTTGCTGTTCCTGGCCTGGTCGCTAGCCATGGCCCAGCTGGTCTCGCTCATTGTCACTAGAGCCCTTCATCTCCATGGGTATCTGCTTTATATCCATAGATATACAATTTGTATCCATGCAGGGATCTAGAAGTGGGTACATCTGCTACGCCGTGACCTCCTCTCTGCTGCATCTGAAAGCTTATGTGGGCCAAAGTCCCTACAGGAATCTCGTTGAATGTTCTCCTTCTAGGTGTCATTGCTCACTCTAAATAACCTTTTCTCTGGTGGGGTGGGGTTGGCTCTTCTCCATACAGCCAAGAAAGGTCCTGATGGCTTGGCTTTGCCCAACAATTACTGCGACTTCTGCCTGGGAGACTCAAAAATCAATAAGAAGACTGGGCACCCGGAGGAGCTGGTGTCATGTTCGGACTGCGGACGATCAGGTACTTTGATTTGCAATACCTGCATTCAAGAGGCTGGATGCCCATGGTCCAGCATGAGGTGTTGCTGCTGCTTCACTTCACTGAGTTGGGGTTGTTCTTTATGCTGGATGCCCCGTTATTTGTCCCATGGGGTGGCTGCAGTGATGCATGATGGGAAGCTGATGTCTCTCTTCCCAGAGCCAGGAGCATTTCTGCTCTTTTATTTAAGGCCAGTGCAATCTTTTAGCTACCTGGTTTCTTTTGTCCCACCTAAGACAGCTGAAGGAGGAGCCAGGGGACTATGAGTCAGTGCTCCTAGGTTATGTTCCCAGCTTTGGAGGGGGAGAGGGTTAGAGCAAGAAGAGGCCTGGGATTCAGGACCTCTAGATTCCATATCCAGCTGTAGAATGAGAATGGTCTTTAGTGGTTAGAGCAGTGGGAGACTGGAAGTCAGGACTCCTGGGTTAAACTCTTGGCTCTGCCACTGACTGTCTGTGTGACCATGAGCATGTCACTTCTCCGCTCCGTGCTTCAGCATCCCCATCTGTCTGTTTCTTTACCCTGCTCTCCTGTTAGCTGGAGAGCCTTCTCCTCTGTTGCTGTCTGGAGCAGCGTCTCTCTTGTTTCTACTTCATTCCTTGTCTAGCACTGCTCCTTCTCTGTTTCCCCCTCTCTGGGGGCAAGAGCTGTCACCATTGCAGTTGCTGCTATTTGGAAATAACCTGTATATATCTTCCTGCCTCCTTATGTTTCATGCTTCATTTCCATTTCTCTTGCTTCTCTGAACTCTTGCCACTTGTCCAGGGCTGACATGTCTAACATCCATGTGTGGCTTTATTTCATCCCCCTTGGCAGGGCACCCTTCTTGCCTCCAGTTCACTCCGGTTATGATGGCTGCAGTGAAGACGTACCGTTGGCAGTGCATCGAGTGTAAATGCTGCAACATCTGTGGCACCTCGGAGAACGATGTGAGTACCCTTCAGTGCTGGCGAGATCGATCCTGGCAGAGCAAGCTTGACACTTTGGGCATCCACAGCTGCAAACAGGGGCTTAAAGAGGGGACCAGCAAGCCCCGAGGGGTACATGCCATTTGTGTCCAGAAATTATCTCCCCAAGTATTGTCTGCCTACATCTCGCCATGCTGCACAGCGAGAGCAGCAACTTGCACAGTTTTGGCAGAGACAGGAGAATAATCTTTGGAATGAAGTTTACTGTGGGAGTTTAAATTCTGAATGGAGACTACCTGGGAGGTGGGATTATGGATAATGTCCAAGGTAGGCTCTCGGGGAGTGTGTGTTCCAGGTTGGAGTAATGCAGCTTGAGACCGCAGGTGTACCATCACATTGCCCTCTCCCCCAGGTCAGGGGACCTGTTCTACTCCAATTGGGCAATGTGGCTTCCTCACTAGTTTTGGTGGTTGCTTCTCCCATTACCTAAGGATCTCTGCAGATACAGGCAGGCTGTATTGGTTACACATGAGGCAGCTCTGCTCTCAGAGCCATTAATCGGCTCCCCACAGACTCAGGCAGGCATCGCTACATTAGTCACCTGTGGAGAAGCTCCATCCTTTCAGAGCTAATGTCTCAGGCTCTCTGCAGACTCAGGCAGACGTCTCTGCATCACATTCAGGTCACGCTATCAGAATTTGTTTTGCAGTCCCAAAGGGTAGAAAATCAAAACCTAAAATCCTGACCTTTTAACATGAATCTAAGAGCCAGGACCCTAGGCATGTGAGCGTAGGCGCTGACTTCCCCTCTTTCCCCTGGGTGCTTGACCCGCTCCCTGCCCCCACTCCACCCCTTCCATGAAGCCATGCCTCTGCCAACCCTTCCCCAAAGTCCCCGCTGCAACTCTGCCCCCTCCCTGCCCCTATTCCAACTCCTTCCCCAAATCCCTGCCCCGCCTCTTCCCTGCCTCCTCCCCTGAGTGCACCACATTCTTGCTCCTCCCTCTCCCTCCCGGAGCATGCTAATGCCGCCAAACAGCTGTTTGGAAGCGTCTGGGTGGGAAATGCTGGGAGGTAGGTGGAGGAGTGGGGACGTGGCACGCTCCGGGGAGGGGGGGGGAGGAGGAAGAGGAGGGGCGGAGGGAAGGGAGCTTAGCTCTGTACCCACTAATTTTTCCCGTGGGTGCTCCAGCCCCGGTGCATCTGCGGAGTCAGCCCTATGCTTTGATCCAGCCCTGCAGGTGTTACATGGACCTCTTCAGTGGCTGTTTCACATAGGAATCTGCTACTGCTATCAGCTAATGGAGTTACTTCTGTGGCTCAGGTGGTACAGGCTTATGCTTTTAGTGTCAAATGTGGCAGGTCTAATCTTTGGTGAAGACCCTGAGGGATTGGTTAGACTTGCATGTCACTAAAGCACCCTCTGTTGTTCTTTGTGGGATGGCAGAATCATGCTGTGATTTGTAAATAGAGCCCTTTTGTGAAGCTGTGTTGAATCATCCGAATTTTCCTTTATTTTCCTCCCCCCTCTGCTTAGGACCAGCTGCTCTTCTGTGACGATTGTGATCGTGGGTATCACATGTACTGTCTAACTCCGCCCATGTCAGAGCCACCCGAAGGTAAATGTAGTGCTCCTTGGCCCACTCTTGTTTCTCTTTAGAATTCTGATTTTGGTTCTAAGCACTAGTGATTGATAGCATTGGGCATGATGCGAGCAGGAAGTGTGCAACTTTCTCCCACATATCTCTGAATCCCGTATAACATCCCCTACTATTCTGGGCCTGGCTAGCTCTGCCAAGGTCCCTCAGACTTGCTGCGCAGCCTCGCTTGCTATTTCAGCTCTGAGCTCCCTGACGCAGGTAGCTCTGCTGATCCCCTATGATCCTAACCCACGGATCCCTCTGCTGCCTCAGTTATTCCTTCCCCCGCCTAGTGCCCCACAGTTCTAATTTGCAGCAGCACCCCCTCTTACTTATTCCAGTCCTGGGTGCCTCTTAAACTGACAAATGTGCTAAGTGGTGTGTGTAGGATCTTGTGCTGAAGGGGAACACTGCGCTAAGTGTAGGGTTCGGTTGGGACTCTACTTATTCGTATTGTGGGTATCCCCTAGGAGGCCCAGTCATGGGACAGAACCCCATTATGCTAGGTGCTGCACAAATACTCCAAGTTCCCCATAACTTTCCTTGGCTTTCTTAGAGTCAGATTCCAAGACCAGAAGGGACCACTGTGATCCAACTAGTCTGACCTTGTGTATGTCACTGGCCATGGGACTATCCTGAATTAGTTGATGTTTGAGTTGGAGCAGATCTGCTAGAAAAACATCCAATATTGAGTTTTAAAAGGGGGGATTTGTATACAAGGGCCAACAAATTCAGCCTTAGAGGAAACAGGTGCAACTCCCATTGAAATTGATCAGAGATGTTTCTGCTTACATCAGAATCTGTGAAATTTTTTCGTCTGTCACATGCACGAGGTCAGATTAGATGAGGTCTGTGGACCTCCCTCCCTCAGCCTGCTGTCAAAATAGTCAGATACACCTTCTCCGGGCAGTGCCCGCTCCAGTAGATTCTCCTGGTACTAAATCATCACTGTCTCTATGCCAACTGGGATGTGGTAGGAATGTCATTAGGCATCCTGAGGAAGGAAGTATGGGGACAGCATCCTGCCAAGTGTGGAAACATTTCTGCATTGGTAGCAAAATCAAGAGTACAGTGGCAGAGTCCAGATTTTCCACCAGCCCCACCTTTCCTTGCACAGTGCACTGATTTATGGTTTCAAAGCAAACTGGTTACGGTTGAGCAGCCAGAAGCAATCTCCGGTCTAGATTCACCCATGTTAATTTTAAATTGCCTTTTAATTCTCTCACTTAATGTTATCTAGATGGAGGAATATCTGAAGACCTTGGGGGCTTTGTTTCCTAGCATACTGGGAGCACATAGTCCTGGATTAACACCTGCTAGGATATGTTTAGGGCCCTACCAAATTCACGACTATGAAAAATGCATCACATACTGTGAAATCTGGTCTTTTGTGTGCTTTCCCCCTATACAATACTTATTTTACGAGGGAGACCAGCATTTCTCAAATTGGGGGTCCTGACCCAAGAGGGAGTTGCAGGAGGGTCACAAGGTTATTTTAGGGGGGTCGTGGTATTGCCACCCTCATTTCTGTGCTGCCTTCAGAGCTGGGTGGCCAGAGAGTGGCGGCTGTTAGTCGGGAGCTCAGCTCTGAAGGCAGTGCCCTGCCAGCAGTAGCACAGAAGTAAGAGTGGCAACACCATACCATGCCACCCTCATTTCTGCATTGCCTTCAGAGCTGGACAGCCGGAGAGTGGTGGCTGCTGACTAAGGGCCTAGTTCTGCAGGCAGCAGCGCAAAAGTAAGGTGGCAATACCATACCATACATCCCTACTTCTGCGCTGTTGCTGGTGGTGGCTCTGCCTACAGAGTTACGCTCTCAGCCAGCAGCCACCACTCTCCAGCTGCCCAGTTCTGAAGGCAGCACCGCCAGCAGCAGAACAGAAGTAAGGGTAGCAATATCATAACCCCTCCAACCCCCCACCCACCCCCAGTAGTCCCTAGGATGCCCCAACCAAGATCTGGGCCTTGTTACTGTATGTGCACTATTGGTAATATTATGGTAGCACCTTGGGGGCTCAGCCAAGATTGTTGTTAGTACGGTGGTAGAGGTTGAGGGCTCGAGAGATTGGGACCTGTTATCACATATGCATTATTATTAGTAGTTTGTTAATATCTAGAGGCCCCAACCAAGATCCTGGAATAAACTACTGGCGTGAGGCACTGGTAGAACTGTTCCCATACTAGGGGGTTGTGCAGCTTTAGCTATAATATTTTCAAAGTGGTATAGTTTAAAGCAGTATGAACACTGTGTGGACAAACCCATAGTGAGGCAGTTCCTGACCCAAAGCACTTGGATTCTAAATAAACAATGGCTCGGAGAGGAAATAGTTGTACAGAGAGGGGAAGTGACTTGCCCAAGGTCACACAGTAGGTCAGTGGCAGAGCTGGAAATAGACCCCAGTTTGGCACCCTAGATAGCATTGCCTGTTAGAGCAATGTTAGAACAACAGATTATTGTCCTGTTAAACAACTGCTGTGTTCCACCCTGGAGCTGGCCACATTTCAGCAGCAGGCAAATTGCCCCCTCAGACATATGCAGTTCACTAAGCATTCTGGGAAAGCCTAGTTACTGAGTTTTCACCTCTTCTTGCAGGGAGCTGGAGCTGTCACTTGTGTCTGGATTTGCTGAAGGAGAAAGCATCAATCTATCAGAACCAGAACTCCTCTTGATTCGGTTTTGGGTTGGAGGGCAAAGCGTGGCTCAGTAGAGTAACCTCCAGTCACTCATTACATACAGGGCTCTGTTACTTTTTTGTCCCCCCCCCGCCCCCCTTTTTTTTTTATGGTTTAACCTTTCCCGTGTTTTTTTGGGTTCCTTTTTGTTGAATTTCTCTCCTTCCCAAAGCAGATTGGACTCTGCCTGTTACCAGAAGATCCATCCTGGTCTGGGGTTAGAAGTGGATCCACTTCCCCCACCATATCAGGTGAAGTCTTGTACGCAAGGCTGTCCCTTGGTGGTGGTTGCGTTTCTGCCTCTGTCTAAGCACTGCTTCAAACATACATAGCATGAACCAATGCTTGACCCTCACTGAAGGCAAAACCAATCCTAGCACGCAGATGAGACACAACAAACAGGAATCTCCTCTCTGTATAGGAGGGAGAATCGCCTTATTCATCCTGGTGAAAGGTGTCTCTTGGACTCTCCAGTGCAGGAACTGCAGAAAGAAGCGCCATAGGAGAAAAGGGGTCTTACATCCTCATTTAAATGACTCCTATTCCTGAGTCTGCTTTGCCATTCAGCACTACCGAGTTAGCAGCCATCTCCAGGGCTCCCGTCATCCATGCTCTTATGCTACAAGTCTGTCTGAGCAAAATCAGCCTGTCAGGTAAAGGGAAATGGCTCCAGACATTCTTCGTGTCCCAAATCCTCCTTCTCCTCCTCCGCTTACTCTAATTAGTGGGTTTAAGTCCACACACTTCTCCTAGTATAGACAGGAAGCAGTGGTTGTCCCTGGTTGATAGTAGGGTATCGATCACTGATCGCCCCCTCCTTCCACGAGTTGAAAGTGGTTTGACTGGTATAGGTGACTGGACCACACTGTTTTCAACACCGCCTGCTAGAGAATTGATTCCAGCACTGGTAGAAAGGGATCCAATGTGTGGGTGAGGGTGTGGTATCCCTTGTTTGTCAGATAATATCAACCATGGATCAATATCCCAGTGTAGAGAAGGCCTTTGATTTCCACCTGAGTCAAACCAGTTTAAATATGAAGTGACTCCATTGTCTCTTGGTTTATGCTGGTCTGACTGAGATCAGAGTCAAACCCATAGACCCTACAGTACCTCAGCTTGATGGTGTTTTTACACCTGTCCTGTAAAACTACACTCAGCATCCCATAGTTCCAGGTTCTAATGGTCACACAGGGTTTAAACTTTCACCAGGTTATTTTGGAAAAGGTCTGCTTCGGCCTCCTTTACAGACTCCATCCTTGAGAGGAGAAAGGGATGGTCCTTAGGATTCTTCACTGCTGCCTTAACATAGTCCAAGTGCGTAAGTTGGCCCTTCCCATGTACATCCCCTGCACTCAAGCATTTTAATGGAGTTTTGCCTATTGTGTTTTTAACCTACAAAGCCTGCCGTCCTGGCTTTTGGTGACGATTTAGCTTTTCAATCATTAGGATAATGAAACTACAGTTGGAGCTGTTGTCCCGGACTCTTGAGTCCCGTACCGAAGCTGTACGGTCGCCATCCCTGCAAGAGGCTTGAGTCCTCCCGTGTTGTAGCAATGGCAGCACCATGCCTCCTGATAGGAGGAGGAGGGTTTGGGACTGTGGGTTCAGAACAAGCAGAGACCACTGGTGTTTCCATGGAACAAAGTGCAGATGGACTAGTCTTTTGATTTGCAGATCCCTTTGCCGCTCCAGTTAATGTGCCTATGCAAGGGAGCTGCATGCCCAAGACTTGGGAGTGCCTGTTCCAGCCGGTCAATGGGTATGAATGCATGCCAGCAGGGACTCATCGCCCCATGCCATGGTGTGTTGTTAAAGGCTGAGCTGGCTCATTTCAGGACCTTGCTCTGCTCGACGATGGAGGAAAAGAAGCCAGTTTCTTCTCCCAGCTTGCTGCTGGGCTCTCCCTCTCTTGGAAAATAAGGATCCCTCTCCCTCCCTCCTTGCTATTTTTGTTTCCGCTCTGCAGGAATCTCATTGTATCATGTGACTCGGAACCCACTGGTGACCTTTTGAAGCCCTCCAGGCATCGCTGTTTTCAGTAGCAGGGGTCAAGGTGCATGGGATGATTTTTGTTGTACAGCCCTAGTATAGGATGAAGCATTTTTGGAAGGGTGACACAAAAGGGTTCTGTTGAATAATGTGCCTGTTTTTTCTAAATCGACTTCAAACCTACCTCCAAAATCCCTTTTTACGTTCTTCCTTGCTCACTAGAAATGCATTTAAAAAAAAACACTTCACCTGTACAAAAGGGGCTGGATGGCTCAGGGGATGGTGAATGGGAGGACTTTTGTTCACCACTAGGTCACTGGTTCAAATCTAGCCCAAGCTGGTAGCAATCAGAAGCCATTACCAGCCACTGGTGATTTGGTGGCCTGTATGAAATGAGTTTTGTGGGTCTCAATCCAGTGTAACACACACATGCCAGGATCAAGGAGGCCATGGAGACTGGACATTGTGGCACAATGAGGATGTTTGCCATGCTGTCCCTTACGTGGCTAAAAGTAGATGGTCAGTCCAGACCTGTTCTGAGCACTACTTCAGATGGAAATATTAAATAAAAGACCCCACTCTCTCCATACTTGCACAACAGAGACATGTCTGCATTTGTTTGAAATCCTGTATCCACTCAGCAGTGGCTGTGGTTGGAAGCCACCTGAAAAGGGAAGCATAGCTTCGCCCACTTCATTACCTTATCCACTCTTATGAACGACTGAAGCTGAAGTGGGTGGGGATTCAATGCAGGCAGAGGCAGAAATCCTTTTTGCCTCTGATTCCATCCAGAGCCTCCTAATAAATGGGGCTCAGTCACTGAGCAAATCTTCCTTGCTTGGCTAACTGGGGAGCTGTTGCCCAAACTGAAATTGGCCATCCCCAGCAGCTCTCGCCAGCACTGCAGGGTCGTGAGTGTCTTGTCTTGGACAGACCACAATCCCCTGCAAAGTATCACATGTGTGTCTTATCCTGCCCACCCCAAAAAAACACCAAAATGGCTTGTTAAACCCCTCTCTTGTCACTTTGGGGTGGGTTACTTTTCTTAAATTTGTGTGTAGCTCTCCTTGCAATGGGAATTCAGCGCTCAGGTCAGATGTGTTCCAGATACATTGGTTTCCCATAAGGAGGCTCTTTAGGTTTGGGATGGGGAATATTATATAGCTCATTTCTGTGCTTTCACCTTGTAATGTTTTTCAGGGTGTGTGATGCGGGGGGGGGCGGAGGTGTCAGCTTGATTTCCTCTATTCTTTATGATGCTGCTTCCCCTGCCCCCTCTTGGAGGAGAAATGTCAAACAGTTCTGAGTAGGGAAAGCCACCTGCTGCTGAGTTAGTTTTCTTCTTTGACTGACTTTCACAGCTTTTCCCTCTGAGTTAGCAAGCTGCCTCCCTCACTCCCACATACATGCACGCACATTCACACATGCATTAACAGCCATTTATGTATTGAGAATAGTGGACTTGTGTTTTTCCATTTCAGTAACCTAATTAAATCGCAAAGTCTCAGAAGCATATTTTGGGTTTGGGTTTTTTTAATTTACAGAGTAAAAAACAAATGGGAATTTTTTGCTGCTGTTAAGATTCCTTTTTTCCCCCCCTTTCCTCCCCACTTTAATTGGAGCCAAGGTGTGTAATTTTTTTAAGGTACTGTATTAAAAAAAACATTAGTAAATAAACATTTTTACACGGATCTCTCATTTTAAGCTGCCTTATTTGTTACTGATACAGATGCTGTGAGATTAGATGCTGGGGGTGCTTCTGAGTTTACTGTGCAGTTCTCCAGGGAAAGCTGTTCAGGTAAAAGTGTTGTGTATTCCATCTTTCTGTTTTCCACATCCCTTTGTTAGGTCCTGATTCAGCAAGATTCTTAAACTGGTCTAACGTCTAGGCAGGAGAATGGTCAAAGGAGAGGACCTTCTGGCCTCCCAGGCTTGCGGTGCCAATCAGCTGTTTGGCACGCAACCCTGGGAGGGAGAGAAGCAGAACGGGGCGGTGCTCAGGGGAGGCGGCGGCGCAGAGGTGAGCTGGGGCGGGGAGCCGTTCCCATGTGTGTGCCCCCCCCCCCATTACTTGCTGCAGGCGGCCCTCCCCGCGCCTTCCTGCCCCAACTTACCTCCGCTCCACTGCCGCCCCCGCCCACTTGGTGCCCTAGATGACTACCTAGTTAGCCTAGTGGTTGCACCGGCCCTGGCTAGGTGCTATACAAGTGCAGAACAAAGAGATGGTATCTGCCCCCAAAGAGTTTGCATTCTAAATAAGCAAAGGAAGGATGATCGTTTCCCATTTTACGCATTGGAAACTCAAGCCCAGAGAGAAGTATTTTCCCAGGGTGTCACAAGGAGTCAGTGGCAGAACTAGGACTTGAATCCAAATGTTCTGAGTGCCAGGCCAGTATCTCAATTCAACTCCAGTGCTGGAGCAGAATTGATGCAGAAGGGAGAGGCATGTACAGGCTGTGCAAGCTTTCTACTTTCAGCTATCCAGTGCTATTTTATAATTCATTGGTCCCACATGAGATATGGGGACATCAACGCATCCATCAAACACACCCTGAAGACACTGATAGCACTAAATCGGATGCATCATTGGGATGAATCGTCATTAGGCTGCCAGATCCTTAAACATGTGCCTATTGTACTTCATGAAGCTCTGGTTACAGCACAATATCATATGGACACAAAGGGACAGTGAAAGACTTTAAGGTGGCTCCAAACCACTAGGTACAATATGCTGCAATTCTGCCTGTGTTGTGCCTCAGATACCCAGGAAGGTGTTATCAGGGGAAAGAAGTTTTTATCATAGGGTGCTTGTGCAACCTTATTGATGGAAATCCTTTGGGTGTTTACTGCAGAGATAGCGCACGTGCACCCCATACCCCATGTCTAACCACTAGACCCCACTCCTCTCCCAGAGCTAAACGTAGAACCTCAGAGTCCTGGCTCCCAGCCCTCCTGCTCTAACCACTAGACCCCATTCCCAGAACCAGGAATAGAACCCAGGTGTCCTGTCTCCCCAAGTGTGTGTTACGGCTCTAAGAACATTGAACTTCCTAGCACTGACTGTTCTCCATCCTGCTCTCATTGGTAAACATTCAAATTCCTAGAACTGTTAGAGGATGCTTGTCTATGTATATAATTCTTTTTTCTATTTGTTAAAAATAGGATCATGTCACTGTTGGGGAAGGGTGTGTGTTAATACAGGATGACTTCCCTGCAATGCTAGCTGTCTCCAAAGATTTGCATCCTTGTATCTTAATGGCAAAAAACAGCAGCTGCAGGTAAGACAGGGTCAAGTATTCAGTCTAAGGGGGATAGAAGAAGCTGCGACTTCAGTGTGGCTCAGTGCAGGGTGGGGGAAGTGGATTTTATTAACTCATTCTCCCCCTTCACCTCCTTTGTTCTTTCCTTCTGCTGTAATGCTTTTAGGACCAGATTCAATTGAAACCAAATCATGCACTGCATAGTCCCAACACCTTCCACTAAAAATATTTTGTCTGGCCATTGTGGTCTGTATGGCAGCATGGCCCAGTGGCACTGTACTGGGACTCAGGATACATGAGTTCTGTACTCGGCTCTGCTGCGTGTGGCCTTGAGCAACTCCCTTCCCCTCTGTGCTCCTGTTTCCCTTCCCACCCTTTGACTATATCAGTGGTCTCCAACCTTTTTACATAAACAGATCACTTTTAGAATTTAAGTGCACCCCAGGATCTACCCTGCTTCGCTCACTCCATGCACCCCCTCCTTCGCTCGCTCCCCACCACCCTTGCTTACTCTCACCAGGCTGGGACAGAGGGTTGGGGTTTGGGAGAGGGCTCTGGGCTGGGGCCAAGAGGTTTAGAGTGTGGGACGGAACTCTGGGCTGAGCCTGGGGCAGGAGGGGGTGCAAGCTCTGGGGGGGAGTTTGGGTGAAGGAGGGGGCTCCGGGCTGGGGCAGAGTGTTGAGGTGCAGGAGGGGGTGCGGGCTCTGGGAGGGAATTTAGATGCAGGAGGGGGATCCAGCTAGGGCAGAGTGTTGGGGTGCAGGAGGGGGCATGGGGTGCTGGCTCTGGGAGAGGGGTCAGGGCTGGGGCTGGGTAATGGGGGGCAGGAGCAGGATTGGGGGGGGCAGGAGGTGGTCTGGGGTGCTAGCTCCAGGAGCGGTCTCCTGCCAGGCAATGCTTACCTTGGGCGGGGCTAATGCAGGATCACTGCCTCCCCTGGACCCACGCCGCTCCCAGAAGGGGCCAACATGCCCCTGCGGGCACGTGGCTCTGTGTGCTGCCCCTCTCTGCCGGCACTGCTCCCGCAGCTCCCATTGGCCACAGTTCCCCATTCCCGACCAATGGGAGCTGCGGGCGTGGTGCTTGCAGGCAGGAGCAGCATGCAGAGACCCCTGCTGTCCCCCTCCTCTAGAACTGCGAGGGCATGCTGCCTGCTTCTGGGAGTGGTGTAGGGCTGAAGCATACAGGGGGCCTGCCTTAGCGGCAGCCCTGCTGCAGCCAAAGATTGCAATTGACTGGGAGAGTCTCCAGGATCGACCATTCGATCGCGATTGATCGGTTGGTGCTCACTTCCCTATATAGACTGTAAACTCTTGTGGGTAGGGACTGTCTCTTCCTTTGTCTATACAGTGCCTAACACAATGGGTGCTGATTTAGTTTGGGGACCTGTAGGCTCTACTCTAGTAGTGTTAACCTTCTATCACCTAGAGGACCCAACTTAGCTTGAGGGTACCATTGAGCAGGGTGCCATAGACAACATGGTGAGAGACAATCCCTGCCTTAAAGATTTTACAATCCAGGGCCTGATCCAGGCAAGACTGTTGCAGATGCTTAACTTTACGCACCGTCAGCATTCCAAATCTGTGGGATTTATTCGCAGTGTGTAAAGTTAATGTGCATACGTCTTTGCAAGGTTGGGGCCTAAATAGAAAAGATAGATACGAAGTGGGAGAAGGTGGGAAATAATCCTCTCATTTTACACGTGCAGAGAGATTAGTCACACATGGGTCTGTAGCAGAGCTAGGAATTAAACCCAGGTTTCTTGTGATGAGAGCTAGTTGGATATTTTGCATTAAAACAGCTTTTTGCCAGAAAATGCTAAACAGCCAAAACAGAAACTTTTGCGGGAATGTATCTGCTTCAATTAAACTTTCATTGAAAGAGGTTTCTCCAGTCCAGGGTGGAAATGTGAGACAGAGCTCAGAATAATCGATAGCCCTGTCTGAGTGAGGTAGAGCAGGGACCTGAAACTGGGTCCCCCATCCCTGCTCACTACTGGGCTGTTGACTGTTCTGGAATGGGGGATCTGTGCTCTTGCTCTCTTGGGCTGGTTTTTACAAACATGCCTTGGTTTTGTCCCAGTACGGAATGGAAAACGTTTTTTAAATGTTCATGAACCAGGAAAACAGTTTCCTTCCCCACTTTATTTCAGACCTAATGTAGTGCCACAAGCCCGTTCTTTCTTGACAGGGAAACATGCTGCCTCTTTTAACGATGTTTTCCCTATAACAACATTATACACAACTGGCTGGAGTCAGGTGATCAGATCCTTATCCTACGTATGCAGGTGTAAATCTGGAGCGAGGTTTCATTTAACACAAGGGAGTTAGCCTACTTTTACCCAGTTCCAAGTGAGATCAGAATATAGCCCTGATGATTTTAAATAACAATTCACTACTTTAAATTAGGACACAAATCAAATGATGGCAGCATGCTGTATTGGGATGAGTTCCAGTCATCTACCAGAGCTGTGGAGATGTTACAGGGAATTCCAAGAAAAGCAAGAAAAAATTATTAAAGACCTAAGATTTTCTTAGTGCCATAATAGTGTAGAGCAGGAGAGGGTTGTAGGAGAAGATGCCATGCTGAAAGAATCATGGGATTTTTATTGTCCTTGGTACATAAGCTATTGCAAATATTATTGCACATAAAATCATTATAGAGATTCAGAAACTTCTCTGCCAAACTTTTTTTTTTTTATTACTTCAGAGGTGCCTATTCCATCAGTTTAGTATCTGATTCCATTCTGTCTCAGGTGAGATTATATCCTGGTTTTGGCTCATAGGAGTTGGCAGACTGCATCACTTGACCAGCTAGTCCAGCATCCTGTTTGAGGTGGGCTCATACATGGACTCAGTTATTTTTTATTACAGTCTTGCTCTGAGACATCCAATCAAGATCTGGTCTCTATTGTGCTAAGTGCTGTACAAACATGAAATGAAATACAGTCCCGATTCTAAAGGGTTTTTTCCAGCTCTGAGTCCTTGCCGTTTTTGCCTCGGTGCTGTTTGAAATGAGATTACTGCCTGGGACTAGAATCAGTCAATATAGGTTCAATTCTGAACTCTGCCACAGACTTGAATAAGTCACTTAATCTCTCAGTGCCTCACTTCCCTCAGATGCAAAATGGAGATGATGATCCTTCCTTTGTTTGTTCAGACTGTAAACTCTTCACTGCAGGCACTGTTATTGTGTGTATTTGCAGCACCCAGCATGACTGGGGTGGGCCCCAATATCAGAGGGGGTCTGTATAGTGCCTGGCGTGATAGGGGCCCTGCTCTAGCACAATGGGACCTTGATTACAGTCAGGGCCTCTTGATGCAACCATATCTTAAAACAAAACAAAACCCACTATTATAAAGCAATTTTGTTTTCCTTTTTATTTTTTCAAACAAATAAATATGAAGAACATTGACATAAACACCAGTCTCACTGGACCCTGCATGAGGAAAGTCAGTATGTACAGTCCTGTATGATCAGGGTTTTGCTGCTTTGCCAATTCTCATGCTAAATGGAGTTTTCTTTCAGCTCACAGCCCCTGAAGTTATGATTACGTGAGACTCTGTTTACATATATTTTAAAAAAAAGTTTCTAGTGAAAAGCTTGAAAATGTGACCTCTAAAGGCTCAGAAACCAGAAGGAAAATATGAATCTTTCCCTCCTCGCTCCCCCACTAGTTTACTATTTGGCTTAAAATCATGAGTTTTTTTAATCTTGTGATTTTGGAGTCTGACTCGTGATTTTTGCATGCTTGGGGATGGTAATGCTGGGTTTGTAACTCTCATAAACATGTTTTGGTCAATGATTTATTCATATTAAACATTCAAGAGTCACCAGGCTAAAGATAGGTTGGAATCATGGCACAAAGACGAAGTGAATTGGAGGACTGCCCCTGACTTCCTGCTGGGTCATCTTTTCTCTGCTGCTGGGACATCTTCAGGAAATAGCGCTTAGATTGATAATATCTTTTCTCCACTGTCTGCCTGCCTGTTGCTCCCAGGAGTGTTAGTGCAAGTTCGGAATGTGGAGAGCGCTTATGAGCATGGTACAGAATAATTCATTCTTCCTACCTGGGGAGCATCTGAGTCCTCCCCCAGGGGAGAACAGATCAGAGGATCTCTCGGGGGGGAGAGGCCTGAGTAGCTCAAATATATCTATTCATGTGAGGCATAAAACTGTTGGAGCTGTGCTGCTGCTTGAAGGCTTTGTGGCAAAAGCTATGTGTGTACAGGATGGAGCAAGGAGTAATGGCCTCTGCAGCAGATGGCTAGCTCAGGACTTTGCATGGTGGCCTGGGACTTGGGAGACCCAAGTTCAATTCCCCACTTTGTTGCATGACTGGGAGCAAGTCACTCTGGCCCAGATCCTCAAAGGTATTTAGGTGCTTAGCTTGCACTGATTTCAGTGGCTAAATATCTTTGAGACTGGTCCTTAGTCTCCCACTGCCTCAATTCCCCCTTTGTAAAATGGAATAATGCTTCCCTACTGCACAGGATGAAGGGAAATATATTAAAATTAGGGCTGTTGATTAATTGCAGTTAACTCATGTGATTAACTCAAAAATTAATTACAATTAAAAAAATTAATCGTAGTTAAGTGGAGCTTAATCACATTGTTAAATGATAGAAAACCAATTGAAATTTATTAAATATTTTTGGACTTTTTTCTACATTTTCAAATATATTGATTTCAAATAGAACACAAAATACAAAGTGTACAGTGCCCACTTTATTATTTTTGATTACAAATATTTGCACTGTAAAAATGATAAACATAAGAAATACTATTTTTCAATTCATTTCATACAAGTACTGTAGTGCAATGTCTTTATCGTGAAAGTGCAACTTACAAATGTAGATTTTATTTTTTTTGTTACATAACTGCACTCAAAAACAAAACTTTGGAGCCTACAAGTCCACTCAGTCCTACTTCTCGTTCAGCCAATTGCTAAGACAAACAAGTTTGTTTACATTTATGGGAGATGATGCTGCCCACTTCTTATTTACAATGTTACCTGAAAGTGAGAACAGCCGTTCATATGGGACTTTTGTAGCCTGCATTGTAAGGTATTTACGTGCCAGATATGCTAAACATTTGTATGCCCCTTCATGTTTTGACCACCATTCCAGAGGACATGCTTCTATTTTGATGAAGCTCGTTTAAAAAAAAATACGTTAATTAAATTTGTGACTGAACTCCTTGGGGGAGAATTGTATGTTTCCGGCTCTGTTTTACCTGCATTCTGCCATATATTTCATGTTATAGTAGTCTTGGGTGATGACTCAGCACATGTTCCTTTTAAGAACACTTTCGCTGCAGATTTCACGAAGTGCAAAGAAAGTACCAACGTGAGATTTTTAAGATAGCGACAGCACTCAACCTAAGGTTTAAGAATCTGAAGTGCCTTCCAAAATCTGAGAGGGACGAGGCGTGGAGCATGCTTTCAGAACTCTCAAAATAACAACACTCTGCTGCGAAAACTATGGAACCCAAACCATCAAAAAAGAAAATCAACCTTCTGCTGGTGGCATCTTACTCAGATGATAAAAATGAACATGCATCAGTCCTCTCTGCTTTGGATTGTTATCTAGCAGAACCTGTCATCAGCATGGACTCGTGTCGTCTGGAATGGTGGTTGAAATGTGAAGGGACATACGAATTTTTAGCGCATCTGGCATGTAAATATCTTGTGATGCCAACTGCAACAGTGCCATGATAACACCTGTTCTGACTTTCAGGTGATATTTTGAACAAGATGCGGGCAGCATTATCTCCTGCAAACGTAAACAAGCTTGTTTGAGCGACTGGCTGAACAAGAAATAGGACTGAGTGGACTTGTAGGCTCTACAGTTTTATATTTTATTTTTGAATGCAGTTTTTTATATAATTCTACATTTGTAAGTTCAACTTTCATGATAAAAAGATTGCACTATAGTACTTGTATTAGGTGAACAAAATACTATTTCTTGTGTTTTTTATAGTGCAAATATTTAATAAAAATAAATATAAAGTGAGCACTGTACACTTTGTATTCTGTGTTGTAAGTGAAATCAATATATTTGAAAATGTAGGAAACATCCAAAAATATTTAAATAGTGTTCTATCATTTAACCGTATGATTAATCACGATTAATTTTTTAAATCACTTGACAACCCTAATTAAAATATTGTGAGGTGCCCAGGTATTATGATAATGGGGCCTATATAACCCCCTTAGAGAGATGCTTGAGCAGGGACTAGGGAAGAATTTCTCTACACTAATCCTCTTGAGCAGGACAGTAACAGAGTGGGTTATTAATAATATCCTGTGTCCATGTGGTTGAATGGGTCACTTTAAGACCCTGATGGGAAGGATGGAGGTGCAACTGTCCTTACTGTCTTTCCCTACTCCAGATGTCATCTTTCCCCATGTCACCTTCAGTTTTCATCTTTCTCAGTGCAATGCAGTGATACTCGGCACCTCACTAGCACCAGATTACAAAGTGTTTTCTAAAACTCAACCAATGAAGCTTCACCACCCATGATTGCCCAAGGTCACAAGCTCTGAGAATGGAACTCCAGAGCCCAGACACCCCCACCTTTAGTCACAAGAATCATAGAATATTAGGGTTGGAAGAGACCTCAGGAGGTCATTTAGTCTAATCCCCTGCTCAAAGCAGGACCAACCCCAACTAAATCATCCCAGTCACGGCTTTGTCAAGCCGGGCCTTAAAAACCTCTAAAGATGGAGATTCTACCACTTCCCTAGGTAACCCATTTCTAGTGCTTCACCACCCTCCTAGTGAAATAGTGTTTCCTAATATCCAACCTAGACCTCCCCCACTGCAACTTGAGACCATTGCTTCTTGTTCTGTCATCTGCCACCACCAAGAACAGCCAAGCTCCATCCTCTTTGGAACCCCCCTTAAGGTAGTTGAAGGCTCCTATCAAATCCCCCCTCAGTCTTATCTTCTGCAGACTAAATAACCCCAGTTCCCTCAGCGTCTCCTTGTAAGTCATGTGCCCTAGCCCTCTAATCATTTTCGTTGCCCTCCACTGGACTCTCTCTAATTTGTCCACATCCCTTCTGTAGTGTGGGGACCCAAACTGGACACAGTACTTCATGTGTGGCCTCACCAGTCCTGAATAGAGGGGAATAATCACTTCCCTCAATCTGTTGGCAGTGCTCCTACTAATACATCCTAATATGCTATTTGCCTTCTTGGCAACAAGGGCACACTGCTCATATCCAGCTTCTCATCCGCTGTAATCCCCAGATCCTTTTCTGCAGAACTAGACACCGTGCCCCTCCCAGAGCTGGAAATAGAATCCAGGAGTCCTGGCTCCCACTGCCACCCTGCTCTAACCCATTAGACCTCCCCACCCTACAGATCAGATTCCCAGTTTCTGACTCTGAGCCGGGAAACAGAAGAACTCAGGAGTCTTGTCTACCATTCTCCTCTGCCCTAATCACTAAACGCCACTGACCTCCCAGAACTGGGGCTGGAATGCAGGAGTCTTCCCCCGTCCTTGCTCTAAGCGCTAGACACCCTCTCTCCTCCCAGCCCAGTCTCTGACTCTAACCACTAGACATACTCATGAAGAGTCAGGAGTTCTGACTCCCATTTTCCTGGTCTAAGCAGTAGGATGGCTAGACTGTGCTTGTCTCTGTGGCTGAATGGATGGAATGTCAAGTGTCCTCTTAGTCAAAGCATCAAGACTGGAAAGAGCTGAAAATCCCAAGAGGTCATGTCACAACCATGAATTGCTGGTTTCAGTGGCCCTGTGGCTTAGATTTTAAACCAGGTTTTAAATCAGTTTCTCTCAAGCACAGAGCATTAAATGCACCAGCTTTGTCCATTTGTTTTCCTTTTGATACATCCACATTCATCAAGGTTTTAAGGAAGGCCACTATCTGACAATGAGTTCAAGATTACAATAATAAACGGTGGCATGGTGTTCCGGAACCTGCCAGCTGTATCCTCACCCAGACCCCAAAGGCTGGGTTCATGACTGTCTCGGAGGAATTCTCCCTCTGGCATCGCAGCCAGGTCCCATTCTTCTGCTGCAGTGCAGTTTGCCTGACAGTCTTCATCCCAGCCCAGGGATTTAATCTAGGGGGAAAAGGCAAGGAACCGCAAATTGAGACACTTGTAATACATTTGCTTGTTATATCTTGATAAGAGCTGCTGGCACCTTGGCTTCCAGCGGCAATACAGCCCTCCCTGAGCTGGGAATAGAATTCAACAGTCCTGGCCCTAGTACTAACTGTTGTAACCACTAGATCCCAGCTCTGGGAAGAGTTATTATTCCAGAGCTGGGAATAAAACCCACAAGTCTTTGACTCCCAATTTCCTCCTGTTCTAACCACCAGCTCCCACTCCTAGAGCTGGCATAGAGTCCTCTTAGGAAAAGCTTTGGTCTAGTGTATTAATTATTTTCACATGATGAGTTCCCAGGGCCAAATTGCACTCAGCGGTGTCCAGGATCTGCATTGTCCCACCCACCATGCATGCTACTTCCACCAAGTCCATTCATCCTTCAGCAGGAGGCAGTGGAGTCCCCACTCTTATATTCATAGATTATGAGGCCAAAAGGGACCACTGTGATCATCTAATCTGACGGGCTGTATAATACAGGCCATAGGACATCCCTGGATAATAATGCCTCTTTGGACTAGAACAGATGTTTTAGAAAACTGTCCAGTCTTGATTTAAAAATTGCCAGCAATGGAAAACCCACCACAGCCTTTGGTAAGTTGTTCCAATGGTTAATTCCCCTCACTGTTAAAAACAGGCACTTTATTTCTTGTCTGAATTTATCTAGCTTTAGCTTGCAGTCATTGGTTCTTGTTAGACCTTGGCTAGTTTGATGAGCCCTCCATTATCAAATTTCTCTTCCCCATGTAGAGAGACAAGTTGGGGGAGGTAATATCTTTTATTGGACCAACTTCTGGAGGTGAGAGAGACAAGCTTTCAAGCTTACACAGAGCTCTTCTTCCCCAGGCAGATACTTATAGACCCCTTAACCTTCTCTTAGATAAACTAAATAGACTGAGTTCTCTGAATCTTCCACTATGAGGCATGATTTTTACTAGGATCCTAATTGTCTGCTAGACTGAAGAGCCCTCTATTATCAAATTTCTGTTTTCCATTTAGGCACTTAGACTGATGAAGTTTACTGCAAGGTGCATGCATGGTTGCAAGAGCAGAATTGTCCCCCTCCATGTTCTTTAATAGGGCTGACCTTAGCTGCAACTGATGACACAGGGATACCCTACAGCAGTGATCCCCAAACTTTTCAGGATCCCGTCCCCCCCACCCTTACTCCTGTCCTTATCCTCCCTCCTGGGGCTGGGAGTGGGGCTGCAGCTGTGTGTGTGGGGGGGAGGGAACGCAGACCACGGTGAGGGAGCTAAGGCTGGGGCTGCAGCTGGGCACGGGGATGGGAGTGGGCCTGGGAATGGAGCCGTGTCCAGGCCAGTCAGGGGCGACTAGGGGTGGCTTGGGGCCGGGAGCCAGGGCTCCGGCTGGGGGCAGGGCCAGAGCAGAGCGAGGCTGGGTGGCGCTTCCTCCCCACCCCCTGTGGGGGCTGCCCCCCCAATCATTTCTCCGTATCCCCCTGGAGAGCACGCCCCACAGTTTGAGAACCTCTGCCATACAGTCTCAACAATTCATGGTCTGATTCACTCTCCTCTTCCCACCTTAGAAGCTAATTCCCACCCCTCCCCCGCTGCCGCATTTGGCTCCCTCCACTGGCTGTGCCTGGCTCACCATTCTGGAATTCACCCCACGCCTGCTCAGTGTGCTGGAGCCCTGTGGAAGGCCACCACGTGCTTGGGCATCTTCTTCCACCTCCTCTTGTCCCAGCGGCACAGCAGCAGCATCTTAAATGTATTGCGAAAAGACTTATTGCACAGGGCATAGCACATGGGATTGACAGTGCTGTTGACATAGCAAAGCCAGTAGCCCAGTTTCCAGAGGCTCTTAGGAACACAGTCCTGGCAGAAGGTGGACACCAGCACCATGATGTTATAGGGTGTCCATGTGAGGATGAAGGCCAGCAGGATGGCACTCAGTGTTCGGGCTGCTTTCTTCTCTTTGATCAGGGAGAGGGTCTTCTGCTGGGAGAGCTGTTTGCTCCTCTTCCGCAGATGGCTTTTGGCAGTCAACACCCCCTTCTCCTTAATTGGTGATATCTTTTTGTTTGACGGCTTCTTGGCCATGTTGGGGGACTCAGTGGCAGCAGGAGACTGGGCTAGGATCCTGCACACGCCATTCCCTCCTGCCCATGGCCCTCCAGCCAGCTTCTCCCGGCCCCGGGTTGGCTTCTCTGTTGGCAGCGGGGGCTGCGTTACACTGCCAATCATAGGCAGCCGGATCACCACCGAGCAGACACTCTGAACCTCAAAGGGCTGCTCCTCTCCCTCAGACGATGTCAAGGAATCAGGGGAGCCGTCCTCCTCTTCCTCCTCCTCTGTATTGATCCAGCTCCCGTTGCTGCTCTGCTCCACATATAGCCTGGCCTTCCTCCAACTGGGAAAGCAGTAGGCCTTTGTGTGGGTTTTTGCCACAGCAGAAGAAACCTTGATGGGTTCCAACCGCTCTGAGTTGCTGTTGCTGCCTTCACCACCTCCTTTAGGCCTGTTGTTGGGGATTGGCCTGACAATGCTTTTGCTCTCTGAGCCTTGCAGGCAAGCCAGTTCCCTGGCCCTGTTCTCAGTCTCCCGGTAGATCCTCCAGTAGAGAATGATCATGATGGTGACCGGCAGGTAGAAGGCTGCAATGGCCGTGCCAAAAGTAATGATAGGCTGAGAGAGGAACTGGAGATGGCAGTTTCCTGAGGGCACTGTCCGCTCCCCAACAAAGTACTGCCAGAACAAGATGGCAGGTGCCCAAAGGATGAAGGAGATGGCCCAAGCTAAGCCAATCATGATGGCTGCCCTCTTTGGCGTCCTCTTGGCCCGGTAGGTCAAGGGCCGTGTGATGGAGAAGTAGCGGTCAAAGCTGATGATCAGGAGGTTCATGACTGAAGCATTGCTGGCTACATAGTCAAGGGCCAGCCAGAGGTCGCAGGCCACGTTGCCAAGGGCCCAGTGCCCCATGATGATGTAGGTGGTGTAGAGGTTCATAGACACTGCTCCAATGATGAGGTCAGCACAGGCCAGGCTGAGTAGGAAGTAGTTGTTGACTGTCTTCAATTCGCTGTTGACTTTGAAGGAGACCATCACAAGCAGGTTGCCCACCAGTGTGACCAGTGAGAGGATCCCAGTCATCAGCACAATCAACACCACCTGCCACAAAGAATGGCCCCCATACAGGGTAGGCGAGGGGCCACCCTGGGAGCCATTGAGGGCTGGTGGGACATTAGAAAGGTTCATGGTGCTGGGGTGGGGTCTCACCTCTCCCAGAATAGCGTATTGGGATGACATTGGGTTCCCACCGCTCCACTGTAAAGCCCCTTTGGCCAGGAGAGGAAAGATGAGCAGGGGTCTTCAGTCTGAGGACGCCTCCTGGAATGAGGAAAGAGACTTGGCTGAGCTGGGAGAAGGGTCAGATTTAGAGCTGGGTGAAATTTTTCAGACAACATTTCTTTCCTTGAAAAATGCAGATTTGGCAACACTGAGATGTTTTGCAAATTCATATTGGTTTTGATGAATTATTCATTTAATAAAACCCTCAGCCCCCACCTCCCCCAATCGTAATGTTTCATTTTGAGATTTTGTAAATGAAACATTTCAATTTTTTGGTTTGAAACAATTTTAATTCAGAAATTTCCTTCAATTATTTAAAAAAATTCAAAAATGTTAAATGATTCAAATTGAAACAAAACATTGACCCAAAACATTTATTTTTTAAGTTTTTTGGTTTGCCAGAAATGTTGAAAAGATTTCAGTTTTAGTTCAACTTGACATGAAATTTCCCACCCAGTGCTGGGTAATGAGAGCACTGAGGTAGGAGATCTGGGTTCATTCCTGGCTTGGTTGTTCTGTGACCTTGGGTAAATCACATCCTCTGCAGAAAAGCAGTTTTGTTTAATGGATAGGACACTGGGCTGGGGCTCGGGACACCTGGGTTCAATTCCCGACTCTGCCATTAATCTTGGTCTAGTCATTTCCCCTTCCTGTGCCTGTTTCAGTTCTCACCTTTATCTATTTAGAATTTTAGATAGTGAGCTCTTTGGTGCGGAGACCATCTCTTACTTTGTGTGTGTGCAGTGCTTGGCATGATGGGGGCCCTGATCTCGGTCGGGGTTAGGTAGTGCCCTACACGCTACCATACAAATGACAAGAAGAGGAAGCCAATGGGAAGGTTGGATCTTGGGGACCCTGGAGCCCATTGCCTGGAGTGGCAAAGGAGATCACAGGATACTCACCTTGCTATCAAGATTGTTTCTTTGAAACTTCATGTCCCTTCTCCAGTCCAATGATGTTACAACGGTAGTGGGGCACTGACACATCTAAGATGTCACATTTTGGAGGCCACCTGTATCAATGAAAAGTAAATTACCTTTTCACAGCTCTCCGACACTGCTAGGTTAACCCTCAAATAGTTACATTTAGACCATGACCTTGTTTTCACTCAAGACACTATCACAATTCCTGTTTATTTCAATGATGCAGGTTTGGGTCCTTAACCCTATAGGTTAAGGACCCAAGTGTACAGCTGTTCTCTCTCTAGTAAAAGGTACAGGTTCAATTTTTGCTCCAAGTAAACGTTTACAGGGGCTTAGTGTAGTGGAGCTCCACAGAGGGTAGGGGGAGGAATCTACCCTAATCTACCAGTGCTGCAACCTCATGCAACAACCTCTGTCCTTGTTGCATCCAACCTTTGTCTTTTGTGGTCCAGTCCATGTGGTTGCAGCTCCACATCCTCTGAGCTAGGTGATCTGTTGGCTTGTTGCACACGATTCCAAGCTGCCTCCACCTAATTAGGTTATTATGAGGTACTTTTGCCTTATTGCAGTTGACAAGGATGTAGCTAGGTGCTCTCCCAGGGGCACAGAAGGAGCCCCCAGAAAGCTGGGCAGCAGTGGAATTTGAACAATAGCAAATCAAGCTCTCCTGCTACACTGGTAGGAGAAAATGCCTGTTGCCCTGATCGCTAGTGTCTAGAACTGTCAAGAGCCCAGGACAAACACAGTCCAAAAGTTTTGAAAGTGACTAATGATTTTGAATGCACTGTTTTTTCAATGTGTGTAATGGGGTGGGGGGGGTCCTACCCTTTTATAGGCCAGGGGGATTGGGATCATCCATCTCTGTTCTAAGGCAGACTGTTTAAGAACAGGTGTTTGGGTTGATCAGACCCGGCTGGAAAGGGGTCAGGTGATTATAAAAGCCAGCAAATGGCTCAGGTGTGGTGAGAGCTGGCAGAAGCAGAGAGGATCTGGCAGGAAACTGCTGGGTTAAGGTGTGGGGAAGGGAAGAGTGACAGGGAGCAGGGTTACTCAGGTAAGTGGCCGGTAGAGTAGGAACCTGTGACATGCAGAAAACCCTGGCTCAGGGGGAAAGAGGTGGTTTCTATGCTGAACTATTTATTTTGGGGTTTGCTAAAGGTCACTGCAATTAATAAATGGTGGCTTGATGAAAGGCCCTGAACAGATCCTAGGCATGGCATTAATCCTGGGCTGGGGAGACAGGCCAGCCACTTACAAGGTACAGTTTGAGATACCTTCAGAGCATCAGCTACCTGCCCTTTGAAAATCAGGCCCATTTGAGGTGTCTGAAGTTGGACAGCCTCCCTCCCCAAAAAACGGCACCTGAAATCAACTGTCACTTTTTAAAACCATCTTGGCCAAAACACCAGAAGGAAGAGAGTAAAATGAACTGTTAATGGCTGGCCAACTAAGATTCCTGTCTGGAATAAAACAAAGATCCTTGGGAAGAATCTGCCTTAACGTGGTCCAGCTTTTGAAGGACACAAGTGAAATATACTTGCCACTGCTCCTCCTTGTTATTATATGTGCTATGGTAGCGACTGGGAGCTCCCACCAAAATCAGGGCCTAGTACAGCCACCTAGCAAGAGTGCTTGCATTCTGGATAGACCAAGGGTTATTAACCCTGTTATACAGAGGGGGAAACTGAGGTAGACAGCACTGACTTGCCCTAGGTCACACAATGAGTCTGAAGCACAGCTGGCAATTGAACCCAGACCTACTGAATCACACAGTTCAGGGCATTAACACCACAAATCCCTCCACTCCGTGCCCATTGTTTCTCTAAGATCTGCCAGTGGCTCAGAGTTTACTGCATAGCAGCAACAGCAGGAGCAAAATATACTCACCAGAGCTGATCTGTGAAGTTGTTCAGCTTCTGTGTGAGTAATGCCCAGTTCAGGCTGGGGAAATGGGACCAATGCATATATGCATGTGCATATGCACACGGAGGTGGAGTTGCGCAAACAGAGGGCAATGCAAATATCATGGGGAAACACACCCCTCCATGCAACCAAACACCAGATGCCTGGAAATAACTGATGAATTCTTGGCACGTTTAGTAACCGGGATTCCTAAGAAAGAGAGAAACCTGTTTCTTGTCCTTGTTTCTGATCTTGTGTGATAGTTAACAGAAGAGACAGCTGTGGAATATGGAAGGAGGCACGACAGTGAAAAGGTTCTCAGCTTTGCAAAGGAAACCACAGCTCAGTCCTAGGAAGGAATTAAAGAGAAGCTTATGTAACCCTTGAAAAGTCTGTTTGGTCAGGGGGCAATCATAGGTTTACAAATGGCTATATATGGCATGGAACACTTGGGAAAGACAAAGAGCCACACCAATAGGGCACTGGGTTGGGACTTGGGAGCCCCAGGTTCAGTTGCCAGCTCTGCCACTGGGTTGCTGGGTGACCTTGGACAAGTCACTTCCCTACTCTGTGCTTCAGTTTCCCAATCTATAAAATGCAGCTAATGATACTGACCTCCTTTGTAAAGTGCTTTGAGATCTGTGACTGGAAAGTGCTGTGGAAGAACTAGATATTTTTATTAACATGTTTTGTGCCCCAGGGCTGGCTGAAAAATACTAATTTTTCACCAGAATTTTTTTTTAAAAAATCACTTTTCCCCTTCAAAAGTTAGAGGAAAGTTATTTTTTTCTTTTCCCAATTAAATATTGGAAACCAAATGTTTTTGGTCTTCCTTACAAAATTTTCGTTTGTAGAAAACTAATATTTTAATGAAAACTTCTCTGTTTTCATTTTGTTTTGTTGTTGGGGGCGGGATACAGGATAATTTTGAGCAAACCAAAAATGAGCAAATGTTTTTTATTCGAAAAGTAATTTTTGGCTGGGGGAAAAAAGATTGCTGACTCCCTCTATTGCACACACTTCCAGGAATAGAAAGAGAAACAGACCTCCCAATAAAAAAAAACAAACAAATTTTTCTATTTTGTTTGCAGTGTTGTAGCCATATTGGTCTCAGGATATGAAAGACAAGGTGGGCGATGAGTGAGATAATATCTTTTATTGAATCAACATCTGTTGGTGAAAGAGACAAGCTCTTGAGCTTCCACGTGAAGAAGAGCTCGGGGAAGCTTGTTTCTTTCACCAACAAAAGTTGGTCCAGTAATAGATGTTACTTCACCCACCTTGTCTCTCCAACATTTTTCTAGCCTTATTTAGTATGTCTAAGTTTAATAATAATGAATCTAGCTAAATTCTCATTGTTCTCTAATCTAGTTTTATTTGTTTTATCTAATTTTATAATCCTCAATTTCAAAAAACCCCTAATTGTATTTTAACCTAATCTTATTTTTGAGAATTGGACGGCATCCCTCTCCACATAATGTTTTCTGTATCACAGCCGCTTCTACTCGCCCCATCTGATCAGGGTCCTGTTGTGCTAGTTGCTGCACAGGCACACAGTGAGAGACAGTCCCTGCACCAACGGGCTCATAATTAAACAGATAAAGCTTGGGAGGGAAAACAGAGGTACAGGGAGGGGAAGGGACTAGCTGGGGGTCATACAGCTGGTGAGTGAAAGAGCTGGGCATAGAACCCAGGTCTACTGAAATCTAGCTGTAGCTGCTAGGTCAGGCTGCCTCTCATGTCTGGGCCATTGCTAAATATTCTAGTGAACTACCTTATGCGTGCCGTATAAATGGATGGAATCAGAGCAGTGTAACTGTGCAGGTGTGTGTAATGTTGTTATCTGTACTGTCATAGCACCCAGGAGCCCTGGTCGTGGACCAGGATCCCATTGCTTTAGGTCAGGGGTGGGCAAACTTTTTGGCCCAAGGCCCACATCTGGGTGGGGAAACTGCAGGCGGAGCCATGAATGTAGGGCTGGGGCAGGAGGTTGAGGTGCGGGAGGGAGTGCGGGGTGTGGAATGGGGTGCGTTGTGCAGGAAGGGGCTCAGGGCAAGGGGTTGGGGTGCAGGAGGGGTGCAGCAGGGGGCTTAGGGAAGGGGGTTGGAGTGCAGAAGGGGTGCAGAGTGTGGGAGGAGGCTCCGGGCAGGGGGTTGGGGTGCAGGAGGGGTTCAGGGTGTGGGCTCTGGCCCGGTGCCTTTGCCTTGAGTGGCTCTAGGGTGGCAGTGGCATACAGCGGGACTAAGACAGGCTCCCTGCCTGCTCTGGCCCCACGCTGCTCCCAGAAGCAGCTGGCGCTATGCCTGCGGGTACTCCCTCAAACTCCCATTGGCTGCGGTTCCCCATTCCCGGCCAATGGGAGCTGCGGGGGGTGGTGCCTGCAGGCAAGGGCAGCGTGCAGAGCCTCTTCCCCTCCCTCCGTCAGGGTCTGCAGGGACATGGTGCTGGCTGCTTCCAGGAGCAGCACAGGGCCAGGGCAGGCAGGGAGCCTGCCTTAGCCCCGCAGTGCTATGGGGGTGGCAATGCTGCGGGCTGGATCCAAAGTTCTGACAAGCCAGATCCGTCCTGTGGGCCGAACATGCAGACCAAAGAGATGAAAGCTCCCTGCCTCAAAGAGCTTCCAGTCCAAGTAAATCTACTATGATGATTAGCATCGTCTTACACCCTATACTGCTGCTGGTTTATGGAGTGTCTTAGCTCAAGGGCTCTAGTTTTGGAAAAGATGTAGAAGTCCATGCTGCTTTTCAAACCAAGTTTAAACAAGCAACCTGTTTACTCCAGGCTGTTTCTTGAATCTTGGAGGCTGCTCTGGTGAAGGTTTTCAGCATCTCCAGCTCCCCCAGTGGCAGCAGGCAGTACTACACCCTGCAGCACATCAACCACATGACTCAAGTTTCTTGAGTGTTGTCCACTTCTAAGATTTCTTTATCAAGAGACAGGATTTTGGCTGGGGCTGGAGCCAGTCATGCCATGAAGTGAGAAGCGCCAGCTTTCTAGTGAATTTGAGCCCCCTAATTAGCTATATGCCCCATTTGTCTGCCTCCTGGGGCAGACCAACCAAATAGAGCTGCTGCTGCAGGCAGAATTCTCTTCCCCTCTCCCTCTGCCTCCCCCTCCCCAAGACCCCCCAGCAACCCAAAGCCATACGCACAGGACAGGAGGAGGGAGCTAAAGAGCCCAGCAGCTC